ACCCATGACATTTGTTGGGCAGCAAAGACATCACTGCAGGCAGATATCCGTACATCACAGGAAAAGCTTCAGGCAGATGTGGGGAACAGGACTTCAAAATCCATCGTATCTTTACTGCTGCCACATCCCTAGCCTTTAAAGCCTGATTGTGGTGTCATCCTCTAGTTTTTAAAATGTTTTAATTTTGTTGTTTGTTTCCAGAGGAAAGCTCTGAAGCACTCACAGACCTCTGATTACAGAAGTAGTGCCTCTGCCTCAATCCTTAAATCTACTGTATCTGCCAACAGCCACTCGTTACCACCCAACCAGGAGAATTAGAAACACACAGCATCGCAGAGAAGATGGGAAGTACAACTATTTACAGGATCTCAAGAGCTTCCATATGATAGGATTCTTCACAAAACAAGTTTTTTTATTACAGTTTTCCACATTAACATCCCACCAATTCCCATTAAAAATGTTATTAAATACTGTACAACACATAATTATTTGCAGGCACATCAGTTGGTGACGAAGTCAGATCACATTGACATAGTAAGAATAGCTGAGGAGTCAGCAACACAGAGAGGTTTTGGGGAATTTTTATGTTTTTTAAAGAAGGAAAGTGCAGCAAGACACAGCTACAATTGTGGCATTCAAAAGTTGGTGCTCTTTGCAGATCATTCAGCTTTTACTGTTGATAGGAAGGAGAGGAAATGACACAGGCAAAATTGACATTTGTGTGCTACAGAACACCCCAGTAACAGATACAAGGCTGTACTTATATCACTGAAGTGAAATTACCTGCAAGGTCTCTTTTTTTTTGTGCCAAAAAAAGGCATAAAATGTATAATCATAAAATAATCCTAAACATTTTTATAAGGGAAGTATCATTTAAGAAACCAAATTCTTTGAGGAGACTACAACTGGACAAGCTCCCAGTTGCTGCCTCTGTCTTCCTGTCATCGCACCCAACACAGCACCTATTCTTCCTCATTAAAGTGGCTATTAAAATGGCTAAACCTATTAAGTTTAAAGTAGTTTGTGTGGGACATAAAAAAATCTTATTCCTGAGAGGCTGTAGCTGAATCTGATTGCCCTAGTGGTTAGGAATCACCTCACTTCCATCCCCAGTGTTTCTGTGGAAAAACTACAGGCATTTATCAGTGTTGTCCTTTAACATAATTAAGTCTCTACTCCCTGAGGTTTGTTTAAATGTTTTTAAAATAAAAAGTTGCTTGCTGAGGCTTTATGCAGTAAGAGCTGTTCCTGTGATCATATTGTGAGTGTATTAACTTTTTCCAAACACTTAAAAAGTTATTATCACCAGCAAAATACAAATAGTTTTGGAATAGCAAATGTGTTCAATATGTACAAAAAGGTGCCAAAAAACATTGTAGCAAGATTTCACTTTAACACCATTGGATGAAGTGGTGAGAAGCACCTCAGATGCAGATGCCTCTTTGGTAAAGGTGGGCAGCAGCATTCAGAGGTGTGTTTGGGGCAGCAGCCTCCAAAGGAGTGGTGTGCTGGCTGCTATGCTGTGTCATAGAAAAGATAGAGTTGCTAGATTACCATCCAGTTCTCCTTATATACTAAATTTCTGAACAGATCCTCTTCCCCTTCCACAGACGTAGTCCCTGACACTTTGCTGCTTCTCTCTCACAAAGTTCTATGTATAGAACACTGTTCTATACGTAGTGTTTCTTAGGCAAAAGCTCATCCACCCCAACTGATGCAATGCAAGCACATCCGTAGTCCTAGGAACAAATGACTCCTTACTTTGCTGTCACCAAGCACTGCCTTTAGGTCATTCCATCAGTAACTTACAGGTCAGGGAGAAGCATACGGTTATAGGAGCAGGTCTGGCAGTTGTTTCTTTAAAATATAGTTTGGTTCCAGTGAGTCATAAGGGTTCAACACTGATCGTATTCAACCATAAGACATTACACTGAAGGAATGGCATTTTGCTACAGCCTCCTCAGTCAGATTTAAGATTTATCTCCTTGGAATTCAGTTACAGTAGTAAATAGTTATCTCACCTGAAAGAGAACAGGGAATAAGATATCCATCTCATTTCCAAAACAAGAAAATACTGAACAGCCTTGCAACTGCTTTATTCATTTCAGTCATAAACTACCTGCTGTGACATCACTTTGATGTCTTGAGGCATCCCAGAGCTCAAGGTTGCTAGCCTCAATCTCTTAACTCTTCAGATAACGCAGACATATGGGAAGGGAAGAGATTTGTCTCACCATGCTTTTTTTGAGTCTCCCCTATTGTCAAATAAAAATAACCTTTGTAGATTATGGAGTGACTTCTTACACAGTTGTCTTCACTTTAATATTGCGTGGGATGTGACTGCAGTGTTGGCGTTTGCAGGAATATGGACATCACCCACTGAGTCTCGCTATTGCAAGCCAGGGTGTGCACTCTATAAACCCTTTGTAGTAGGCTCTCAAGGTTAAAAAAAAAACAAAAACAAACAACAAACCAACAAAAAACCCAAACCAAACAAAAAAGCCCCCAGTTGCTAAGCTAAAAGTCTACTAGAGTTGAAGAACAGGGCTAAGAAATTGTGTTCCTTCCCTTTTTGAAGCATGATAGACAAAGTCCTAAATGTAAAGTTTCTACACACTGTGCACCATTACCTATGGCCATCATCAGAAAGGACAGCTGTGGGGGCAGAGGAGGAAATAGTTGTGCAGCCACACACGTCACACCCTGTGTAAGTCTGTAACAAGTATGAGGACCTATGTAGGTACTTGCAGGTGTGCATGAACAGTGGAAGATTTAGAAGAGGAATGGACTTTCAGCCCTTTCAATTCTTCCCCACCACCCCCAGCCTTTCCATGCTCAGGCTACACACTGTTCTGAACTCCAGGTCCGATTCATAACTACGCTCACGCACAGAGCCCAGAACAGCAAGGCTTTGAGAGACAGACAAAGGCAACCTGCTGTCAGGTTCCTAAAGAAGATGCAAACTGCTCCATGTAGGTAAGACAAGCCACAAAAGTTGTGCAAACCTCTTTGCAATGCACGGTCCATGTACCAAGTGTATATTCAATGGGAGAAGAATTGTGTTTTCACAGTGCCTGCTACAGTGTACCCACAAAACAGATGGTAGCCCCCTACCTATCACTGCTATGAGTGCTACTGAGCAACAGGGAAGATTCAGAAGGTTATTGCAGTCTACATTCAATTTATTTTAGTGTCTCAACTGTGCATATGAATACACTGTCTTCCTAGGACTACAGTTGCAAGAAACAGTGCACTAAGATACTATCTGACCTCCTGTTTCGTTATTTTTTTAAGTGCCAAAAAGCCTTGCTTTTCTTGGGAAAACAAACAAACAAACACAAAAACAAAAAAAACCCAACAACAACAACAACAAAAACAAACAAAAAGCCAAACCAAACCAAAAACAAACAACCCCCCCCAAAAACAAAAAAAAAACCCAAAAAAAAAAAAAAAAAACCCCCCCCCCCAAAAAAAAAAAACCCCAACACTTCCAAAACCCCAAGACATGCTCCCCTGGAGAAGCAGCAACTTTGAAATGCCTAAGTGCATTCATGACTTACATAAGAAATGGTAATTAATAAGGGTCCAATATCTTTGTTTTTCAATTAAAGAGACGACTAAAAGTTTGGCACATGCTCCATAATATTGATTACTATGTGATTCACTGTTAATTACATTTAGTAAGAGGCATGAGGAGAAATGAGGAGCAGACCAAAGTTAATTCGGTTTGACTTTTGACAGTTCACCAGGTCTCTTCAGATAAAAAAATGGATGCTCAAATCCTCTTAGCATTTCATCATAATTCTCTAAAACAAGCAGCCAGAAAAAGATTTCAAGTTTGTAACTGTACAAAGTTATGAGATAGTTTCGATTTTCAAAGTAGCTTAAAGTAGTGTCTAAATGACCTTGTCCCACTTGATCATCGAATTCCTTTCTCCCTGGGGCTCATCTCTCGTCAATACATTATCAGTGCACAGACAGTGGTAAAAACATGCTGTACACCACCAGATTGGAGAGGACAACACAATTAATCATTTGTTGAACATTGCTCACAAGGTTATTTGCTTTCATTATAAAAAAGCAAGATGGTCAAGCAACGTGTCCCCTTTCCAACTCCATCTTTAACTCGAATGAGAAGTTCTACTTTAAATATTGAGTGATTTGTTTAAAGCTAGTACCTAGAAATACTGTGCAGAGTTTTTCTAATGTTAAACAGTGGTATAAAGGTATCTCCATTTAGTGCTGTACACCAACTCCTAGGATTCCAGATAAGGATAGTTTTTGGGTTTTGCTCATTGACATTTATTTTGCAGCGACTCCTTTCCCCTCCCATGCACTGCTCTGCCAGAGTTGTAGCTGACCCCCAGCATCATTCGGCGCAGTTCAGCGACCAGGCGCAGAGGGCTCTTCCAGCGCAGGGGGCTGCAGCTGCAGCTGAAAGCGCCCACACCCAGGGCAGTGTCACCTCTCCCTTCCCAGGTCACGGAGGACCACAGCGGCAGAAAAGGCTTTCTGCTAACTGCTCCCACAATAGACAAACTGTCTATCCTGGTGTGCCCCCTTTTTTAACAGGCTTTAACCACTTGTTAACCCCTGAGCGGACGCCTCTGGTCCTACTAAAGTGAACCTGCTGTGACAAGAATTCCTTACAAAACAACATAACCAAAACACTATTCCCTACGTTTTCAGCTGCTCCTTCAAAGGCAGGACGCAAAAGCTCTGAGGGAGGTACCGGGAAAGAGCCGGCATATTCCCACACCTCCCACCGAGTCCAGGGGGCAGCTCTCACAGCCGCCTGCGGCTTCCTGCGCCCCAGGAGCGCAGCATCACTGCGGCCGCGTCTCCTCAAGTGACAAGTGCCTGGCACGGCCGTGCCTGATCAGCATTCCCCTCCCTCGGAGCGACCCTTCATCCCCACTCATCCCTTTCGCGGCCATCCCGACCCACCTGGGCCAGAACCACGGGGAAAAGCGACCCCGTCCCCGCTGCCCGTCCCGGACCTCTACCTGCTTCGCCGCCGCGGTGCACCTTGACCAGCACCTCCGCCCGGCCGCCCGCTCTCAGCTCCCGCCGCAGGTAGAGCCGCCCCGACGTCCTGTCGACGGCCACGGGGGTATTGCCGGGAGAGACCAGCTCGAACCAGCCGCCGGCCGCCCGGTCTCCGCTCCGCGGGACGGTGAAGACGGTGTCGCCCACCTTGGCCCCGCGGGGCAGTCGGGCCGTGTAGCGCCGGGTTCCGGGTCCCGACGGCTGCAGCGAGCGCGGCCCCCGCCGCCGCCCCGCGCCCCCCGCCGCCCCCCGCCCGCGCACGGCCAAGCGCAGGCACCGCGCGGGGCTGCGCAGCGGCCGCGGCCGCCCGTGATCGAGAGCGGCCACGCAGAGGCGGAGCCGACGCAGCCCCAGCAGCGAGCCCACGGTCAGCACCTGCCCGCTGCGGGGCACCACGAAGAGCAGGCGGCTGCCGGCGCCCGGCGGCCAGAGGCGGTAGGTGAGGCGCGCGTTGGCGCCTTCATCACCGTCCGAGGCGCGGAACCGGGCCACCTCCGTGCCCAGCGGGGCCAGCTCGTCCACCTCCAGCGGCCGCGCCGGCGGCAGCCGCGGCCGGTGGTCGTTCCGGTCCAGGACCCGGACCCGCAGCAGCGCCTCCCGGGGGGAACGTCCCGCCCGCCGCCGCAGCCGGAGCCCGTACTCGGGCTGCGCCTCCCGGTCCAGGCGCTCGGCCGTGAGGAGCAGCAGCAGCCCCCCCCCGCTGCCCGGCCACCGCTGGACAGAGAAGCGCGAAGCGCCGTCGCCTTCCAGCGCCCACTCCACGGCCGGCTCCCCGGGGCCCAGCAGCCTCCGCAGCGGTACCCGCAAGCCCCGCACCCGGGTCCCCGCCGGGCTGTTCTCGGGCACCTGCCCGGAGAAGCGGAGCAGGTGGGGGGAGCCCCCGCAGCCCGGCCCCGCCGCCCCGCCGAGCAGCGGCAGCAGCAGCAGGACAGGGAGCAGCCCGCAGCCGCCCCGCCGCACCCGGCCCATCCCGCCGCTCCCGCCGAGCCGAGCGGAGCCCAGCATCCCACGAAGCCTCTCTGCGCCGTTCTCGCCGCGGGCACCCACGGCACGGGCAGCCCCGGCCAGTGACGGCCATGGGCGGGGACGGGGCGAGCCTGCCCCGCGTGGTCGAGGGGGGCGTCTGCCCGTGGCAAAGCCTACAACGTTGCCGGGCCAATCGCTCATCTTCCCCCTTTCCACATTGCCAGTGACGGTAATCGGTGAGTGATCTCTCCCTGTCCTGGTCTCAGCTTATGAACCTTCTATGTTCTCTCTCTTGTCCAGTTTCGAAGGGGAGTGATGGAGCAGCTTTGGTGGGTGCCTGGCATTCAGCCGGCGTCAAACATGTCACATGCATCCAGCTGCTCGCTCCCGCTCCTCCACAGGTAGAGGAGGATAAGGAACTGTGCCTTCCTGGGGGGGGGGGGGCAACTTCGGGGAAAACGGCAGCCTCCTGCTCTCCTGAGCCTGTATTTAAAAAAAGCCCCAGTCAAGCTACAAGAGTGACCAGTAGGAGAAACACAGGAAAACCCACTGTTGCATAAAGGATAGTGGGTCTTGGGATATTTGAATCATTGAAGAATAGTTGTGACCCAGCAGAAGTGCTTCTCTGATGTAAGCTGAGCTTGTCTTGGAAGCGTGGCCTCTTAGAAGTGCACATTTAGGTTGCTGCTCCGGAAGGAAAGATGCAATTTTAGCAGAAGGAGGAAGAGCAAACCATGTCTCAGCATACAATATGAACACCATCACCAATTATCACTTTCAACAAGTCAGTCTTTGGGCAAAATATTTTTGGAACAAGAATAGTGTGTGCTGTTTTTGAGAGCAACACTAAAATGGTCCTTTCTAAACTCAGCAAGCAAACGTATCAGTTCTGCTAAACATGCATAAAATAGTCTGGGGATGGGAATCATTGCATTGGTTAATCTGTGATCAACGGAAGCATGAATCCAAGCCAGACCACTGCAATGTCAATCACTCCCCGCTACTCATCAAACCATCTTTCTGCTAATAAACAAGATCAACAGTATCTCCCTTCCCATAATGACAGTAAAAGCTCAGGAACAGCCTTTTGCGGAGCCTCTGCATCCAGCTGGCCAAACTGTCAGTGTTGTTCCAACAGAAACACTCCCTCTTCCCGTTTTGAACACGGGTTGCTAGTTTTACTAGAAGGTTGTTAGGAGGGCAGGGGCGTTTGTTCCCAGCTGTGTTGTAACTTTAGTGATGGCATATCTAGGCTGGAAGTGAAGCTCTGCTCAAGAAAGCCAGAACCCATTTCAATCAGCTTTAGTCAAATATTACAGGCAACAGACAAAGGTGACAACCAGCTGCTAGATCTGCATCTCTGCCACTCGGGGAATTACCAGTGTAAGGAGAGGTAATCGTTGGGAGATCACATCCTGTTATTACAAGCTGTTGGCCTTTATTTTTACTGCAGCAAGGGGAAGGGATGATAGTTTCTAAAATTCAGCATCATGTGAAATCTCAGACTGGGACGGCAAAGTAAAACAATGGTTTTACGGAATGGTTTACCAGTAGCAACAGGAAAGTAACCATCAAGATCCATCCATGGTTTATGTGCTGTAGCAAGCTTTGAGTGTGTTATCTTTGCTCTTTGTGCCATAATTCCTTCCTTCACAAAGGCACTAGAAAGCTCATTAATTTACAACACTTAATGAGCCAGCCAGACCATGCAAACAAACGTTCAGTTCAGGACAAGCTTAGATCCAGTATGGAGACATAGTGCAGCATTCCCTCTTCTGAAGTGTGGTGCATCCTTATAAAAACTTCCAATAAGCAAATTCAATCCTCTCAAAATCAAGTACCCATTTTTATCCTACATTACACTTTCCACTACCCTTTCTATTATCTTATATTCAAGCATTTAGAAACATCTAGTTTCGCCTACAGCCCGTGAAGTTATAAACTGGATTTTATTCACAGTCTTCCCTCCCACCTATGAACCCATATATTGTTAATACGTTAACACAGAATTTTGGTGATGCAAATTCAGGCTTCTGCTGCATGTCACTTCCATTGCCCCAACTAAGATGTGTTAACCAGAGCAGAACCAGCAAAAACCTTGCCACTGCAGACGCTCATTAACACAACTCTGTTATTTGCGACATTCAGTTACACAAAACCTGTGCTATGACAAAACAAATGTATATATATTTGTGGACGCAGATCCTAGCAGATCCTACCCTACAATTTAAAGACATACAAACCCACTTGAGTGTAGCCATATTTTCCAAAGGACTGTTTCTGCAAAACTGAAGCAGAATCCACAGAGATTGATAGAGGGTTAATCCAAGAGGTGATCTCAGTAAGGATAGCAGAGATGGCTCCTGACTTTGATAGGAAACAACACAGAGAAGAAATAAATACATATTATTATTTAAAATAAACTCCTTAGGTATCTTCAGGACACTGTCAGCTTCTATTGCCAAAGAATCAAAATTAAGTTTTAGGATTTTTCTCTATCAAACCTTATCTAGTGAACCGAGAACTGTGAAATGTAACCATTAAATCTAAGAACTGCTATTCAGAGGCCAAACTATCAGCAAGCCTAACAGCCTTCCTCTGTCCCTCCCTTGCAGCTGGGACAAGTCCCTAGAATGCAACCAGCAGTTTGGACTACAGCTCAGATTGTCATAAAATGGGTTAACCTGGAAGGAGAAAAAAAAAAAAAAGAAATAAAGAAAACAAAGCAGCAGCATTATCCGGCTGCTAACAATGCTGAAATAGATGCAAATGACAGTGTGTGTGTTTCAGAAATAAGTTTTCATGATGAAATGAAAAAGACAATGCACCTTTCTAAAATTGCATAAATGGTTAATCACTTCTGCTGCAGTGATTTTGTATTATTGCCTGGAGTTGAAGTCAGATCAGCCACGGAAACCACAGGCACTCTTTCCAGCATCCAGCAATTACTCCAGGAAGACCAGAGCTTCTGTGCTTGGGGTCTCATGGACAGCGTAACATGGTGCAATGAGGAGAAGGCAGCTGCATTCTTACCCATCCTTTGTTAACTTATTTCAGAGGGGAAAATGGCTTAAGGCATCACTTTATATTCACCCTCATTTTACAGAATATTCTGGTATTTATTGCAACAGTGTAAAAAAAAATAAATCAGTCTTAGTATGTTTTGGGCCTTTCCATAACCATTCAGTACACTACCAGCAGGAGTCAAGGCTCGATGGCAGACAGTACACTTGTAACTTTGAAACAGGAAGAAATTCCAAGGCATTGTAAAGCTGCTCAAAATTCTGAAAGTAAATGTATATACTGATGGTGTGTTATAACATACTGAATAGTTCTGTAGTACTCAGGATTGCTTTACATTTGTATATTATATACATGCAATTTAATTCATGAGATGCATCTCCTCACTGTTAAAAAATGTTGATCACATTTGTTACCTAAGCAACCTGAAAGCATAGAGGGATTGAAATATGATAGTCTGTGTCACAGCAAAAATGGGAAAATCTGGGAAACTTGGTCCTACAAATAGATTACAGAGGTACCACTTAAGGAGAAAATAACCCAAACCAACAGTAGTTTTACCTAACACATCTGAAACATCAAACAGAATATGTATTTTATACAGAGATAAATACACATATAAAATACATACACACATTTTTAAATACACTCATTTATAGACACATATCAATACAAATTCTATTATATATAATAAAATATTATCTATTTCACAGCTGGTAACCATGGCCTCAGTTTTGCATAAAGACATGGAACAGTACACAAATGCCAACATGTATTTCATGTTACTGGGAAGCTCCATTCCCCTTTCAGCTAAGCAACCATGAAGCCTGGCTGCTTGAATGAATAAACCTGAATACTTCAACATCAGCTCGTTTCCTGACTAGTCTAAAAGAAAACAGTCTGATGAATGTTCAAACTCAGAACCACTATAAATTAAAGATGTAAATACATAACTTTTTTCAGGTGCTAAATGATCAGTTTTTGGAAAAGCACTTCATAGGATATTTCTACCATCTTTGGAATTTAACTAAAATAATACCAAGATTTTCATATCATTACATGCTAAATTATTACAAAGTAATCTGCATTTAAATATTTCACTCCTACTAATAATATCTTATAAAATGACAGAGGGCTCCAAAATATGTAACCATGATCTGTAAAAGTTTAAGACAGATAATACATTAGTTGATTAAAAACAATTAAATCAGTAAGCATTTGACATTGCATAGCAATTTATTTCCAGGTGACATCCTTGCTGTAGGAAGATCTTAAGGGAGAAAGTCAGAGTTCAATAACTCCATATGAAGCACCTCATATTTTGCTGCTCATCCTCACACCAGTATGTCTCAACAGCAAGTCATAGTCAGCACAACATATGGATCCAGTCTGAGCAGGCAGCTCATCTTCAAGAGTTGCAAGACTATTTATGTTGCCCATCAAGACAGACATTTGAGCTACAGTGTACAGTCTTCCCTTGACTTCTCAAAAGAAAGCATAAAACAGTTTGTGTCCCAAACAATCCATACTTTCTGGACTTGGCTTTTATTAATTTTAATTTTTTTTCCCACAGAAAAATAAAAGTTTGTTACAAGAGAAAAATACTTACTATGTATACATCATTTCGATAAAAAACTGTCCAAGACAACAAACAGGATAAAAGGAATTGTATTCCTTAGATTTGTTATTAAATAGCTGCACGTAGGTAAATCCATATGCCATACACGCAACTGCTAAACACCACTGTTAACAAGTAAAGCACCACCAATAATTCTTCTGTGTTACTGAAGTAACAAAGTTCAAAACTTTGAAAGGTATTAAACACCCACCTATTGTCCCATTAAATAAATAGGTAACCTCAAACATCACTGAAAGGCAGAACTACATACATCTAACTGCGCTGAAATCAAAACCATTGCCAGATTAGTTATGTATTTAAACATATCGCTGAGGTACAAAACAATCCAGAAGACCTTTAGGGATCATTAGCTCTGTATTTGGCATAGTTGGAGTGCGGCAACATAATCGTGATTTTTTTTTTAGCTGCAGTGATGAAGTAGAAAAAAAGTATTAAAATAACACACACTACATGTCTTACAATTCCCACCTTTTTTCTCCCCCTAAAGTTAATTTTTAAAAAGAGTACTAAAAGCATGATTATACAGATTTATGTTGAGGTATTATTTCACATGAAATATTGCTTGTGTTGGAACAAACTCAGCTTTTCTTTCATCTCGAACACCACAGTACTTGAGAGTCCACCCGCCCGTCAGTATTGAGGAGACTTAGAGATTCAGCAACCGTTAGTGATAACAGAAGTTACTCGTTCCATCTCCAAAACACAACAGTAAAACAGACACCTCTACATGCAAACACATCATGTGCACACATGCCCTTGCATTCACACACACAGCCTGCACCTTCTCCTGTTGGAGTTTTGGTTGAAGGACAGGTTATATGAAGTCAACAGCCATAATTAAGAAGCATTTCAGTGACACCTTATAAACCCTACAACCTGATCTCACAGCTCTTTTTCAGATGAATTGTATGGGAAACCTCATGAGGATCACAAGATTTGTACATTTCCAGATGACTTGGTGAAAATAAGGTGGTAAGAACAAGACCTCATCCCTAACCTTTATCTTTCAGTAAATAGTAATGCCACCTGAGCAAATAGTTTGAACAATTTTCAATGCTTGTTAAACCTTTTGGCCCTCTTTCTTCCACATTTGTGTATCTTCTCCTTATTTCCCCCCTCCCCTGCCATGGAAATTGTATTTAAGATTGTGTTGTATTAAATTGGATTTCCAATTACTTTAGAAGAAATAAAATCAGTGGCTTTTAAAATAATATGGATAGAAATTTATGCTCAGAAATGCCTTTCCTTAGTCTCAAACATCTCCTGTCAAATCTATCAACTGAGTTCAAGTATGTGGTAATTCAGAAAGTGAAAGAGCATTTTTTTAAGATTAAGACAAAACTGTACACGTTTGTTTAGCCATGACTTGATTAAACTTTGTTTCACAAGTCTAAGGGCAACGGTGAGTGCCTGAAAATACTATACCAATTTATTCTTTCAAGGTAATTTTTTTGCATTTACTAAGATCAAGCATATCAGAAATTGGAAATGCAAAGGAGGAAATAAGTCAGCAAAATAGCCACACAAATTGCTATGCGAATTCTCATTCTTCCCAGTGAACAGCTGGCACACATCCCAGCTGCAACACTTACTACATGGGCACCCTCGGAGGCTGGCGTATTAAGACACAACGGAAGCTCTAGAAATCAGGGGGACAGGAATTAAAAAAAAATCTTCACAAAAAGAAACACAAATTGAGGTTTTTGTTTGTTTAATAAAAGCTTGCAAGGCACATGTTTCAACTGAATTGCAACATCTACAGCAAAGCAGATCAAAATTTGTAAAACTTTCCCCCAGCCCTTTCAGGAAGTTAAACCTGTGACCTGGTTGAAAACCAAGCTGGGGTTGTGTGTGTACAAATCTGATGTAATTGTACCCTATTGCTGTCCTTCTGAGGGATATCATTGTATATCTGAGGGAACTTATTGTTTATTTTTCACAGAAGCTGGAGATTAGACAATGTTTTTGCTAGGCCGCATCTGGATAAGAAATTAATTCACTTTGTTTGTAAGATATGATTATTTCAGTCACTCATTTTAATGATGACTTTTTACAGGAACAACCACAATGTTCTCTCACATTAAAGGCTCCTTCTGTTACTTAAGGCTGCTGTGCCAATGGTGCTGCAATACAATTTTCTCTAATATAAAAAAGCAAGGTAAAAATCTTAAATGATTCTCCTAAAGCAGAATCAATTGAAGTAGTAAGAATACATCCTAAAAACTATGACAAAACTAATAACAATAACTATGTCACAGTTCAAATAAAACTCAACACGTTCATTTAAACATGTATAAAGGCCAACGTGCTGCAAGATAGCTTTGTTTAGATGTCTGGATGGCCTTGTTTGGGGTTTTCTTAATATGTGTGTTCTATGTGTAGGTATTCAAACTATGTTCTATATGGTAAGACATACATACAGCACTGCAGTAAAACGCAACAGGCAGTCAAGGACAGATAAATATTGCATCTTGGCATGGCAGTCTAAGGCACGAAGCCAAAAGCTTTGCGACTTCTTCCACCCAAGTGCAGTTGTAACCCTGAAGTTTGCTACCTGGAATGCCTTATTGCTGTTATGAAAGGATATTCATGAATTATTAACTTCAAGAGAGTAAATGACTGACACACAGACATGTAATTCTTTGACAGTGATTCAAACAAACCTACATTGTATAAGGAACTCTAAACTTACTTCCAAATATTACATCTATATCCATACTAGCACATAGAGGGGACGTTCCTGCAGGCCTGCCTTGGCTCAAGTTAATTTATGAGCTTCTCTTGCTAAATGGCACTTGAAAAGCCTGAAAGAGCCCAGTGCAGTAAAACATGTACTCGTGCACAAGCAAATAAATGCAGCCTGCACTTGACCAGACACACCCACACCCCCCCACCCCTCAACACAATGACTGTATGCCCAGAAAAGATATTTACTTTTACCCTGTACCACAGTTGTACTGGTAAATGTTTCTCTCAATGACCACATCCCATATATTCAATAGATTTATCTGAGCATTGGTTTCAAATAAAATGCATAAGTTAACATTTTGTCAAGACTCATAGGCATAAAAATATAACTGAAAGTAAAAAACAGATTACGGACATTGACTTTTACAACAATAAAGCTTTTTTCTTTTAAATCACTCCAAAAGTGGTAATAGGTTTAAAAAAATCTCAGCACTACCTGTCAGTGTAAAGTAAGGAAGTGTATCTGCATAGAGCAGAGAAGAATCATGCATATACACCAACATGCTGAAGTTCCTAATAATTTCAGAGTTAAAATCTCTGATCTTGCATTTTATCAACAAGTGCAGTAAGGATCGTTTTGCAGCTTTCATTTCTGTTGAAAGTTCATCCTATTTTGACAGATTCTTCATTAAAGACATCTGGGCTCCAAAGAATCATTCCCACATGCCTCCAGGCCAGGTGTTACACAAATTCCTAACTACAGGTAACTCTTAAGGGGTGCACAACTTCTTCCAGAACTTATGTTCTGGCTTTCTGTCCAGCTACACCTACGTTAAGCAAAGCTATCATTACCTTTTATTGGATTTTCCATTCTCAACACGAGGATTAGGCCCAGAGTTGGAATTAAAGCATAATTCACTCTCTTGAAAGTCTATCAGCCAGCAGCAGACAAGATGATAAGAAAAATAGTTGTAGAGGAAAAGGGGGTCATATAACAAACACAGATTTTAGAGGGAAGCAAAACTGCACAGTACTTTCCCAGCTTTTCAAAGATCTCTGTGTAGTTGCATAATTGATATAAAAATAGCTATGAACAACTGTACCATTATTTACTAATGGTGGTGATTATAGTGTTTTAAATGACAGTTATGGCACTATCTTAATATAGCTATCTCATAATAAATTGAATGAAATGAGCATGACCCATCCCTCCCCATACATAGACACATACACACACATACCTCACACACACAGAGGGGGTGAAACCGAAGTGCAGAAGTCTCAGTAGCAAACCTAACTGTCCTGCTACACTTGCCTGAAGACAAGCACACTGTGGTATATACTGGCCCATTGTGCTGGCTGCTAAGACACTCATATGCATACACACACACACTTAAGCATGGAAGAATCCTGAAGACAAGTTCTTTCCAAACTGAAGATCTGACCCTGTCAGCTCCTACTGCTAGGTCTAAGCCCCAGCACTTCCACCAGCATGTCTCTAACAATATAGAGATCAGTGCCTTAATCTATGGAAGTGCTGTTTAAATAAAATCTTCCTTATTTGATTTATACAAACAGTATAGCTACACATAAGATGTATAAATGTGTGTTTGATAAACATAGAAATGTTTACAGTGGAAGACAGGAAGAATTAAAACAACAACAATTAAAAAAACTAAACTAAATATCCAAACACTTATTTGAAAAGACTCAAGATACCAACTGCTTTTTGGCTAAAAAATAAAAGCTACATGACCTAAATGAGCTCTTGAAATAATTTTTATGCTTTCACTGAGGTCTATGCACATCAGCTCTCTAACACTAAAGTTAGAAATCTCATTTACATGAAAATTAAAATGATTTAAAATGGGAAGAAAAATGTAAAAACATGGAAGACTGTCACATGTTGTAGAGACCGTAAAATTGATAAATGTTCCCGTTTCCTTCAAGGATGGTATCTCTGTCTGTTGATCTGTAGTTCCAAAGAATTCCAGTTTCGTAAAATAAAGTTGTCAGTATACTGCACATGTGCACATATATCTGAAAAAATAACTTCCTTGATCCAAAGGAACTTTTTAAACTGAAATTCATTCAGAATAAATCCTCAGAAGGAAGCTTGCATGCTTTTTCATGACTGGAAGGATATCACAGTGTTGATTCTATATACAAAGTAGGATCTATTCCAGTACACTCGAGTAAAATAATTCACATATGGAGAATAGTTCATTTTGATTTCATGACAAAATCGTCCATATTTTGAGTAGGCATAGTTGTCATCTTCCTCACAAACCACCTGTCAGAAAGAAGAAGACCTAATTAAAATACTGAAGGTAAGTGGTTACAGAATGTAATTCTGTATATTTAATTTATTTGGTATTCTGTAAATTTCATTTATGACAGACATCTAATTTCCATACTGTACGGTTCCTATAAGCTGAAAACGCATTCCCCTATAATTTGTTTAACCACCCAAAATAGCCTTTGTGAATTAACCCCTTTGCCAGGATAACAGACATTAAAACCAGTGTACTTCATTCACATAATAAAGAACAACACAGTGGAAATCACCCCCACACCCTGTTTATCCAGTAGTTCAAGCCTGACCCACACAGAGCACACCAGTAATGAAAGGAAGTCTCAATTACCTTTTCCACACCAAGGAAACTTGACACACCTATTAAAGGCCAAACACACACACGTATAGCCCTACAAATTCCAACTAGTTGACTTGGAAGCAAACTGCTTGTGTGTTTGAGCATCTACTGTTTGATATTCCTGAAGTAATCTCTTCATTATTCCTTCTGATAGCACAAATTTACATGATGTTAAAAAAAGGTGGTAGGACAAATTCATGAAGAAAAATCCACTGGTGGCTATAAAGATAATTTCCCTGTAATGCTAGATTGCTGGAAAATATTTGTCTTTCCCTATAAGTAATCCTACGGTCTCAGCGAGAGGCCAGAAATAAGATACTGGGCTAGGACTATAGGACACAGTACAAGCTAGAAAGTAATACTGATCTTCTTAAACACATCCATTTAGTAAAACACATCCACAGACCTGTCAACAGCGTAATAGCCCATCCACTGTCTCACTTTGGAATAAGTAAATGCTGCAGTCTCTAAAGACATATGCACTAGTTTGGAAAGTCTTGATAATCTTTCAATATGACTTAGATAATTTTTGTTAGCAAGAAAACTGAGAGATTTTTTTAATATTTCCTTAGACAACACACTATATCAACTCTCAAGAACAAACTATGTCAATTTTCTGAAAAAAATAAATACTTTATTCCTGTTGGCCATTCCACTATTTTTTCTACAACTACCATTTGAGGTTTCAAGTCAGTATGGACTCAGCCACAGGCAGGAAGCGTAAGTGATGTTCATTACTAGGCAACCAACCTTTTTCTAAAAATACTGAAAAGTCAGTTGTCTACATTTAAATACATGTACCAGTTGTTACATTACAGATTTAGATTACAGATATTCCTCAGAACAGATTTTAACTGAAACTCTCGCCATGAACCTCCTTTTCACCTTCTTAATCTCTCCACTATAAATAGGATAACCCTTGTCACTTTTGACAATTCTAATTACACAGAAATAATAAATGACTGGTTTTCTGTACTGACAGCACTGTGTGTGGCATTTATCCAAGACAGGCTCCTTGGATTTGATTGAAGATTTTCCTTCCTTTGACTGAAATTATCATTGCAAGCAACAACTGCTCTGAAAAGTGCTGGGAGGTGTTCCTCCCAGCGTTAGGAATTAAAGAGGGAAGAAGCTCTTCCTGATACATGAATCAAACAAAAACTCAGAAATTTGATAGTAAAACTGTGCTGCTGAAGTTAGGATTATCAGGCTTATGTGCGAGAAAGAAGCATGCAGGAAACATGGAGAGAACAGCAGCAGTGGTATGAGGGCATGGAATCCTGAAACTGTGGTTAATTGCTCCAGAGGACATTTTAAGTGGGAAGAGGGAACAGGAACTTACTCATGCAAACACAGATCTGAGAAGAAACTGAGAGATACATGTGTTGATTATCAATGATGGAGGTTATTCATACACACACTCTCTAGTTGTGGTACAATATATTGTATACAACATGGAATAATCACAGCATACATGATTTTAGCAGCAAGGCAAGGAAAGAAAATAGATTTCAGCAATGGTAAGGAAGCTGACTGAAAAATTGATACAATATCCTTCCTGGATAAACAGGTCAGGAAACCCAAAAGTGAAACTGACATCAGTTGTAGATTCCTGGGGAAAATCCAGAGTAATCCCCCAATAACATACCACTCCTATAATTACTCCCTCAAAACAAAGCAGCTACAGGAAGGAAATGTTTGCATTACAAGTTCTTTTGAAATGTGTTTCATCAAAAGTATAACTTATAAAATAATTAACACAGATGAACCACTTGGATTTTTTTCCCTAAGAATGGAATATGACTATATACAAGAAATGTATATATCCTCCCCATTAAAAAAAAAAAAAGATTCACACCAAGGATTCAATTGGTATAGTTACTACACACTAGACTGTAATGTCAAGTAGACGCTTCAGTTCTTTCTTAGTCAGGAAATCAACTAAATGAAACTAACCTGTGATTGCCTAGAAGTAACTGGTGACTCTCTCGTGTACACTTGAGAACGAGCAATGAAACTGTGAGTTTAAGGCCACTCCTGCCTTTATAAAGTCAAATTTTTTGCTGGATTCTTAGGAAGCAGATGAACAAGTGGTAATGAGATTGCTTTATAAACCCCATCTCAGTCCCTACTTCAGCAGCAAGAGCAGCACTATCAGCATTCCAAACAGACAGAGCATGGCAATGACTGAAGCAGCATTCATGGTACAGTTTATTCAACCGATTTTTCTACCAGATGTGGTTTAAACTATCTGTTGGGGTGCTAACCTATCTGCAAGGCTGAATCAAATAGACTTGTAACGTCATTAGTACCAAACAGGCTGTACTGAACTAAATGGCAGGCTGGTCCTCATCCCAGCCAGAGTTTTAGAACTGAGTTTATCCATTTAATGATTGGCAGAAAAGCAGCACAGCTAGATACTTGTGTATTAGGAGGGATTAGGGCATTTAAATAATAACATTGGGTAAGATAACAAGTGTAAGAAACAGACAATCCAAAACTTAATTGATCACTTTAAAAATATTTAAGTCTTTGGCTACATGTCAACTACAATCAGAAAAACAAGATCAGCATTATAAGAAGATTTCTTTTTAAATTAATTATTTATGCATTCAAACATTCTTATTTTCTCACTGTTACTTACATGACCATTAGCAATATCCAACAGATCTTTAACTCTGCATCCTCTTACAGGTCCCACTTCATTGCAAATTGAATCTTCAATAACCAGAAAATTGGCTTTGTAGGATGTGAGTATCTTATAAATATCCTCTGCTGACCTCTTTGAATAGATCTGATAAATCTATAAATTAAGAAAACATGTTCATGGAATGTAAAAATCAATGATAATACTGGGACACACACGCACACACAACTATGGCTGATTTGCAATAACAGACTAAATGTACATGCCAAGTTATGTCTGGTTTTAAAATCTCCGAAATAGGTGAAGTAGTGGCCAGCTGAATGGGAAGTATTTGTCTCTACTGATGGCAAGTTCTCATCTTACACATTTTGAGTGGCCTGAAAAGTCTTCAGAAATAATATTTTGATATTTGTTTCTGTCCAGAGTAAAGCACTGAATTTACTTTACACTCCCTTCTGTGTCTGCTGGACTCCTATGTCCTCCTTCCTTCTAATACATTTGGTTGTTCTCTCATTATATTTGGGTGAAGAGGAACACAGTTCCTGTGAGAGGCCACATTTATGAAACTGGATACTCACATTCTCGTTTCTTTTCAGAAGGTCATCATCGTTGTACAAAGGCAAACTTGACACCATCCATCCAGTACAGAGTTTAATCACACCCATGAGCTGTGGGCTGCCTGCAAACACTGCAGCCACAGGAGCCTGTCGTCTGCAAAAGCAAAACCAACACACGTCTGAGTACAGGATGCATTTCTCAAAACTATGTTCTTAATTTTATACACTGCGGGATCTTTCAAGGTGCTGTGGGATGAACTGGATCACATGGAGGTTTCATTGGGGGTCTAATTTTAGTTGGTGTTAATGTTGCAGTGGCAGTAGTTTCCTCGTCAGGAAATGCTCAGACATGCAGCAACATGGAGTTTGAAAGGAAGGGCTTTTGCTGGGGCAAGGACTGATGACTGTTCTCCCCTCCTTGCAATCCACAGAGCACCATTCAGAGTGGTCCTAGAATGGATCCAAGTATTGCTTTTCTGAATGGTTGCCAACTTGCAACAAAACAAGTTTGTGAGGGAGGGTAGATAGAAGGAGAAACAACATGATGTTATCTTGTATGGGAAAGATTTCTTATTATTTTTATTTGATCTCTAGAACATGCATTTCATGATCTATGAGAAAATAATGTCATCATACAGAACAATGTCTACACTAATTAACTATGTTTCTGGGTTTGGTTTCATTTTTTGACTATTTGTATTCCTGTATTAGTGAGAGAAAATAGTCATTGCCATACTTTATTACAGACTTTGGGCAACTTCTCTTGCAGGGAAGATTCAAAATAAATTTGTATTATTAAAGGGAAAATTTTAAGAAAATATACTCTAGTAATGACATTGAATTAAAATTCCCATATGGATAGCTGAGTATATCTTTAAGGAAAAAAAACCCTTTATTTTCTTTAAAAATATGAACAGCTGTTACAAATAAGGGTAGTAAAATTGCTCTTAGCTGAGTGAATCTCAGTGCAATTGCCATGATTAATTATGTACTTCAAGACTAATATATGGAGACTAACATAAGAGCCATTAGGTACTTGGCATTATTCCACTTGCTGCCTTGAAGAGCTACAGCAGTGACAAACAACATATACTACCAGCAGTAGCAAGAAGAAATTGCCTGGAACGCTGTAATTACTAGCCTTGCCTTTGCTGAAGATGAACAGGTTGACATTAAAGACTACATAAATACAGAAAGTAATATTCTAAAAAAAATACAGTTAAAGGTAAGTTATCTGAACACAAGGGATCTAATTTTCAGAGAAGTACAGTTCCTAATGACATAGTAAAAATTTAGATTGAATGAGGCCAGAACGCATTTCTGAATCTTTTGGTGAGAAGAAAAATATATCTGTGAAAATAACTTGGTATCAGCCATGTATACGCTCAGTATAAACTACATAACATAGCTCAGCTCTTGCTGTGCCTGCCTAGGCAGACCGGGTAAGAACCCTTCCAGGATCCAGGTCACAGGGGAAGTCTGAATCATACATGTTCCTCTCCACGTATCTTGACAAAATCTTTAAACCCTCACATTCAGGCATTTCATTTGACTGGCTCATGTACATAAAAGTTTAGTGTTTCTGTCCCTCGCTGGTGTTACAAACAACATGAATCCTCAAATCTCATGAAAAGTTAGCATGCAAAGAACCAAGCACTAAGATGTCCACCTTTATTTGGAAACTAGGTCTCACAATGATATTAAATATGATTTGCTTGCATGTTTCAGGATCTTCTCTCTTAATCAATGATAAACTCCTGTTTCTTTTCATGGGAATAAAACCAAACTTAAAATACACATTTCTCCCCCCACGGAGATCGACAGAGGTAGCTTCGCAAACTGCTGAGGTAAAAATACCCTGACAAAAAGCAGTAAAATAGAAATGTAGGACTTCTTGCTTACTTTATCCATGTCATAAGTTCTACTGTATCAGGATCATAGAATTCTTGCAGTTCTGTAAGCTCTGTCATTATCCTAGGGAAAAACTGATGGAAATGTTTTTGGTTACTTACAGTAAAAAAAAAAAATCTACAGAGCATCTCATTATATTAAGGCCTTAAGTAACAAAACAAAACCAGGCTTCAACTGACTTTTCCCTCCTGACTGGTACTTTTATTTGAATATTTTGCAAAACATAGTTTATACTTAACCTGACAGCAAGAGACTCACTCCAAAATAAATATGTTAAACACAAGTTCTCATCTCTCTCTTTCATTAGAATACTTAAAACTAAAAAATAAATAAACAAATAAATAACACACAGCAAAAACATTCATCAACATTAAGTGGCCTTAAATGCATCAAAACCATAGCTCAGGTTGTCACATGCAAATGTACATAAATAACGGCACTGAACGATGATAAATCTCTCATGGTAAACCTCCTTGAGCAGGAGGGTTGGACTGTTGTGAGTTGATGGAAAAGTGTTATTCAAGCAGGACAGGAGAGGAGAAATTTCCTAGAAGGGCCCTGGACTACTTCTGACTTCAATCACTGCAGCAAAGAAGATTACACTATACTGTATGAAGTAGGATATCTCTCAGTTTATGCTCTTGAAAAGCATTTTGGGAAAAGGAGGGATTTTGTGAAGGGAGACAAAGTGCCATCTGCTTCAAACCAGACCAGACTGCAACCCTGCACCATGGCTTCCCTATCCTGTCAGGTTTGAGGGCTAAAGGAACAATAGGTCCTTTATTAAGGCAGGTGATTTTGTCAGTCCTTGAGCCATTAGGAGCATTTATCTGAGAAAGGCATGGCTGGAAGCTGTCCAGCCATGAGGGGCTGGAGCATGTACATGTACATGCTGGTGTAAATGCTAAGTGAAAACTACCTTATGTCAGCCCTTTTGGAAAATATAAAGTTTACAGGTTATGCCAGACCAAAGGAACAACTTACTTTGGGACAGCCACAGTGGACAGTAAGAAGTGGGAGCCTGCTTTCAACTGAGGCATTTCCACTCCCATTACCTGGACAATTCAGCTGTCAAGTGATAGAAGTCTACAACCAGACATGTTAGGGTTGCACAGAACAGCTGCCACATGTTTGTGTCAGGGCTGAAAGCTGTAGCACTGCTGTTATACACACACCCAAACTACTCCTAGAACAGACGGATAGAAAGAGGAACCACTACTGCCACTCCAAGGAGAACTCAGTTTGCTCAGCAATCACAGCCTTGGAAAAACCTGGTTAGATGAGGGACTATGCTAGACTGAGTAGGAAGGCAACCAAGCAGAAAGATACTGAGCTGTACACTCAGCTGTACACACATAGCCACAGTACCAGATTAGGGGGCTCAAGGCATTTGTGCTGTTCTGCTACTACTAATCAAAGTTTCCAAGCTCAGGGATAAATTATGAAAATCTAGAGAGCAAACTGTTCACCACTGCTTAAAAGCAGAAACTGGATCTGCAATGGCTGAAGCCCTCTACAGTCCAAACCCCTACACTTCTTTCATTAAAAAAATCTGAAAAAGAGTTATTTGGTCAACTAAACTAGTTTCCTCTGTTGTAATAGAGTTCATAATTCTATTGAGCAACTGCAGCATTTTTCAGGAGAATATCTATTGCTCCATCAAAAATGTGTAAAAGGTCGGATTACATTGCAACCAAACTTTCTATTATAAGATAGACATTACAAAACCTGTTCAAATACTGTTGGCCAAGTCCGGCTTCTATATTTGAATTCTTATAAAACTATTCAAACTAACTATTTTGAAGCTATGCCAGTATAGCAGAGGGTTACACTTTATGGAATGTTTCCTATGTTTTTTGGACTCACAGAAATTTAAAAAATAATTTCCAAACACTCTCCTCCCAGTCCATCTGTGACTTGCAATAAAGAACTAAGTATTTATTTTAAACATGGAAACATCTGTAAATTTTCTTCCCTGTACTGTTGTATATACACACATCTCTACACAGTGCTCTGCACAAAGGATTTAACTCCATTATAATTTGATGGGAACTTTTCAAACTGATTATTTACATATGGCCTCCCATAATTTTATTTCATCTAAACTCACCCCCTCTCACTAAAACCAAGATTGGGACAACACATTTTTCAATATTTTAAGATTCCATTTGGCAGTATTTTGTTTGTTGAGTCAGTTTATATATCCAAAGCATAATAGCTGAATATAACAAAGTCTTCATTTAAATTTAAAAACTTCTTTATTACAATAAGTAATCATTAACAAACTAAATTGTCAAATACCTCACACTGAAAAAAGTAAACAGTTTTGTTTAAAAACAAAACATATTTTCAGTGGATGACAACTTCAATTTCATTATATATATTTCATTTCACTAAGTATATTTTATTATATTTGCTCATCATTTTGACTCATATTGTGCTTACATACCAAAAAAAACCCCAAAAAACCGTCACAAAGGTACTTTTCTTACCTCTTTCCACAAGCTGAATCCAATTATTGTGGGAACTGCCATACTCAGAATAAGAGCCTAGAAAGTACATGTTAGAAGAAATGGATTATGCACCGTTCTCCAACCTTGAGGTGTCTGTTGATTCTACTCATATAGTGAGCAACATTTATGCCTGAAACCTTAGAGTGACAGGTGAAACTTAGTGGGGTTTTGCCAAGCAAAAACTCTCTGCAAAGAAGAATTTACCTAATTTAGCATAGAAGAATTAATTTGACCATGATAACTTTACCATCAATTTTAGGGATGGTAAATAACAATGATGTAGGGAACAGAAGAAAAGTAAATACCTCACATTCAAATGCAATGAGAAAATCTGAGACAGGAAAAACCCAAGCATTTCAAACTTCTGCTCTTGTTGCTGCTTTTGTTCAGATTAACAATATTGACATGCAAAACCCAGAAACCCATTTTTTCAACACACCATCATTCTAGCTGATATAATTTTTGCTTTGCAAAAAGGTGAAAATACCTTGTATGGTACAGGAAACATTTGTTAAGGAATACACAGAAGGCATTCCCGTGACAACAAGCTACTAACACACCTACTGTGTTAATAGTAAAAAAGCAGGTCTATATAACAGAATGCATGAGGTACACAAAAGAATGTACTTACCATGTACATGAACATATTGGTACTCCTTGACTGAAAGAACACTGCCAATGTTTCTGATATAACAGAATTATAATGGCATTTTCACAAGTGACATCGTGAACCTCTAAGCATAATATATTTATTCCTATAAGCTTCTTGAATTTAAGGTAAGTAATATCCTATCCTTATCTTATTAATAAAACTAATGCACAAAGCTGCTAAAAATCACACAAAGCCTCTCTTGTCATATTGAGAATAAAGCTAGGGTTGGAAGTGAGGGAGTTGTTTGCACTGTAACACAAGCTCATCTTCAGTCACGCCATTCCTCTACAATGGCCACAGGTAAACAAATCTTACACAAAGTAATTTCACTTATCATTTCTTATAAAGCAGCTTTACTCTCAGCAAGTAAATACATCTTAATACCGTATTTTAAGATTCATTTCTTAGTAAAACAAGGCTTATATCAATGCTTGCCTGCACACCTGTACTGTTTTCTCCTGCATTCCTCCTAAAAAGCACATGACCTTCTTGGCCAATTTCAACTAGATATGACAGAGAGACTGAGGTCTCCAAGATTTGTTAAAAGAAATTAAAGAGATGAGCGAAAGGAAGATGAAGACAGCTCTGCTTCTTGTGAGGAAAGGCTGCGGTGTGAATGCAACTTTATCATCAGGTACCAGACAACATGTGCAAGAGTGATATTAAGAATGAAAGACATAGAAAAAGCAGACTATATGAGATCCACTGCTTACAGAAAAACATGGTTTTTTTCATGGGCTCTTCTATAGGTCTTAGTTAACTGTTTGCAAAGTTATATGCTTGCTACCTGTATTTCCCAGGACATTGGCAAGAGCAACTCACCAGCAGTATAGGGTGTACAGCTTTCAGTCGAAGCCACTTGAAAAGTGTCATCCAAAGTTCAGGGGAACACACCCCAAATGCAGCAAGCATGCAAACATAAGGTGTCCATAGATATTTCATTCTGAAAAACACTGCAATAACTTAGTTGGGACTCTGTGCATGCCTCTGGACTCAAGCTATTTATAAAAAACATTTAGATGTTTTTCACATGTCAAACACCGCCTGGATGTTCAAGCAATCTGAGGTCAACTTTGATGGCAATGAAGGGTAAACCAAGGAAATCTCTAGCAGAAGAGCAGGCACCTGGTTATCTGCTGTGAGATGGAGGAGCAAGATCCAAGGTAAAAGATGACAAAATCCTTCATAGAGTTCAGGGGAGGATGAAAGAAAAACAAAGGGAATAGTAAAGTCACTTGGCTGTTGTGGTTTTCCAGCCAAGAAAGGACAAAAAGCAGCTATTCAGCAAAGCTGTACAGACAATGTACTATAAGAGTTCCTGAAGAAAGAAAGGAAAATATTTAATAAACAATTTATGATTTGCTGGTTTTGTCTGCCTCTTAAGGGTAGACTAGTCAGCTCAACTACACGATAACACAACAGTCTGCTCACTTTAAGAATTTGTGAGTATTTAGATTTTAGGATGATGAGCATAATACATATACAAGACACTTTCAAGCTGATTAAGCTGAGAGACAAGATTAGAACAATAATGTCTTCCAAACATCAGCTTCTGTAGCTTTAAGAACTAACACAATACTTTTGAAATTAGTTTTTCTACTGCGAAGGTATACTTTGCGGTAGCCTACACATAAGACGACAGATAAGAAATCTTCCACATGCCAGTATTCCAGAACTACTCTGTTCATCAAAACACTACACAAGATCTTGCTAGAACACAATATTAAAAATAATTATAGCAAAGTTCTACACTTAAATACCATAAAGAAAGTCACTAAAATGTAATTAAATTCAATTAAATTCTTGGATTTTGGCTGCATTAAAGCTTGAAAAACATGTTAAAGAGACTAAGAACAATTGTATCAAATTTATAATCACAATTATCATTGATTGCTCCTCTACTAACTAGTACCACCACATGCCAAAATTATTTCTGAAAAGGGGTAAATTTCAAAGGGGTGAATGGTGTATCATGTCCAATTAGGAACTCTCTGCTGCTTTCAAAAGAGATACATTAAAATCATACTTACCCTTCCAAACACATTGCTAGACAACCAAGCAAAATTGTGTGAATGACATGATAAACTATTTCTGGCCTCTCTCCAATCCGACCATCCTCAAGTTTAACTGTCTCTTTCAGTGGTTCACCACTGCAGTTGGAGAAAATGAGACATCACTTAATTCAGACATTTTCTCAGGCGAAGGTGCCAATAAAAATACATTTAAGTCAGTAGTACACTGAGATCATATTGTGTCATATCATACAATATAGTTGCACTGTTTACTTGTTCTTTTTACGCAGTCAATGATCTATCAGTACCTACTGTCCCTTGTTTTATATCGCAACCTGTCTGGAGCAATGGCTGTAAGTTATTACAATGGGATCACTGTCTATGACCGTAAATCCTATTTTAAGGTAATTCAGCACAAGAGACAGTCTAATTTAAGAGCATGCAGACTCCGCAAACATTTAGATGAAGCGTGCTGAACATGCATTTAAAGTTTCTTCATATCATTAGCTTGGTGAAGAATTATGGAATCTGTAGGATAATTGTGTATGGAATGTCTATACCATTTTATGACAAAGAAAGATAATGAAAGTAGCTTTGAGTCACATATTCTAAATTCTAGCAATATATTATAACTAAAAATCATAACCAAAATCTTACAACAAATGTTTTTCTACAAACAAGATAGCAATGCATAAGATAGGTAACATATTTTTCTACCATATGATTTCAGGTTAGAATTTTATAATAAACTTCCTCATGACAAATGGAAAAACTATTTTGAGATTATTAATTGATTCAAAATTTGAAAAAAAAATGAGGGGGGAGAAGGTTTATATTAAGCTTTTCTTTAAAAAGGTGTTGGACATAATGTAGTCACTGCTTATTATAAAATAGTAAATAGCTATTTCAACCACTAGCAAACAATCAGAAGTTTGCTTCATTGTTTTGAATATACCAGCACATATCCGACCTGACATTTTCATTCACAGCAGCATGATTTTTATCTATTAGAAATCTTCATTCTTGAAATAAACCTACTGATTTTTGCTGCAGACAAGTGAACAATTTGTTCTAATACCCGAGCAGTTACACCGTTCATCTTCTATCAGGCAAAGATAATTTCCTAGCCATTGAGTTTCCAAGACAAGCTACAGTAGGATCTACAGTTGCTATTCTTAGACTGTAAACAGACAGCTCCACTACCCCTTCTCTCAGGGGAACTGCGAATGTGAATCACTGTGAAATTAAAAATAATTGAGTTGGTTTTACTTCAGCTCTGTTCTCAACTGCAAAGGCTGACAGACCTTATCACAATAAGCCAGCATTTTAAAAAACAAACAGTGAAGCATTAGAAATCACAAATCCTCTCAACTCCACCCATCTCCTTCTTCTCAACATGTAAACTTGAAAAAAACAAAAACAAAAAACCCAAACCCAAAAGAGAAAAAAAATTCTAGTAACAATCAGGTAACTTTGCTGTTGGAACCATAACACAGACATAACATTTTTCTCTCTGGCAATGGGAAGAGACATACGTATATCCCAAAACAGAGTTCTGCAGGAATTGCACCTATGGGGAAACAAACCCATGACAACTCCCTGTCCTGACTGGAGGGATGCTCAAGAAGCTCCTCACTACAGGACTTTTCTTTAGGAGGCTCTGGTGGGCCTTCCCACTGGTGCTGACACCCTGACAAGCTCAATGGTAGAACAAATTTCGGAGCAACAAACATGATAACCATTCCCTTAGACATCAAGGAAACTCTTATTTTTAACTTATTTTTCAGTATAAATAAGTTACTTACCAAATTCTCCTAAAAATGACCTGAGTTACAGAAAAAAGGCAAATAATTAATACTAAAATATAAAAAGGCAACAGTGATGATTGTGTTAGTCGCAAAAAAAAGTCTTGGGAAGGTGCCTGAAGAGATTCTTGACAAAGGAGCCAATTCATTGTAAAATTCCTAGTAAGGCAAAAACATCCCATTAAAGACAATGACAATACCCCACAGATTAGAAAAAAACCCCACCCAGCACTCAACCAGTCGTAGTTTAACCTACTCATCTCATAGAAAACTATTTTAAATTCATCTTTGAAAAGTTAACTTTTTATCATTTGAAACTGCTTTGCAATACTGTTTAGAGTAACTGTCAAAAGCTTATCTTCCAAAAAATTATCTGTGATGTGAAGAGACCTGGCTACAACTCTTTCATAGCACAAAAGCCCAAACTCCCATATAACTCTATTACGGAAACCACAATGCACTTCGTTGTCACAGTGGATTAAGATTTTAGAGATACTGATGCAAGAAGGTATGTTTGTCCTCATTTCAAACACGGAGATGAAGAAGGGAAAGTGGTCATCTGAGATCACAAACAAGCCTGAGGCACTGCCAAGAATAGAATCCTTAATGCTGAAATTCTAGTTCTGTAGCCGAACCTACTTGGTCATTCTTCTTTCTCAATTAACGAGCAGGAAGATTATATAGTCTGCCAATAAGCACTACCAGTCATATTCTCAAGTGGAACTGGTGCAGCATGTGGTTCTGTGAATGCATTCTTCTCTTACTTTGTTTCGCTTCTCTCCCTCCTTTTATTTTCCCCCAAGGGAAGACTAGAGGACTGAATCACTTTCAATTAGATGCAATAAATTTCAAGATTAACAGCTAGGTATGTCCGAACTGGCCCTAAAAGACAGATCTTGAAGCTCTTGTGCAGAAAACCATTATTTCAACTCAGTTTTACGACAGTGTTCTAGTCATAATTGCACCCAGTTTGTCTCAGTCTCTGGTTTCATTGCAGGGTTTGACAGCTTGAAAATTGACATGTAGCAAGTCCACAGGGGAAAAAAAAGAATCTGTAACACCTGGTAGCTGAATAAACTGAAATCCTGACCAAGAGTCCTTTCTTTTCTTGCAAAACACTTACGAATGAGGACGTGTCGTGTGTTTAAAAAATGCATCTTAGCCAACGTCACTACATCTTGTCGTCCAAAAATTCCCCAACAATTTCAGTTGTGTGTGACATCATTTTTCACTTCTTCCCCTGAAAGGCTGTGAAGCAGTTTTGTAAGAGAGATGCAGCTTCCAGGCAAGACTTCCAACTCCTGCACAGAATTGCAAGTCTTGGCTTGCATCCAGGAGATGTCTCAGTCCTTACTAATACTCCACTGGAAGTTTTCCAGAAAATCTGTAGCCTTGAACATCTTCTTGTAGAACAACATTCAACTCTTTTACAGATGCTAATGGTTTTTCTTAGAATCACAATTCCCTCTGACTTTTAGGGTGTCCCTTGTCCTAATTTCTTTCAAAACATACAGGGGGGTTTCAGGGATACCCCACAACCCAAGCATGTTTGGAGATAGCATTGATAGTTCATGAACTCTTTACAGAGCCTTTTCTTTTCCAGGCTATAAAAAGCTATTACTGCCACCTTTACGCTATTATCTTTGCTTTCAAGTCTAGAAACAGTAGACAGGCTACAGAAAGTTTTCACTCTTCAACATCACAAGAGAAGAAAAATCCACGAAATGCTTTCACCCCAAGGCATGAAAAATAGTGAGGTGCCTTGGAATCTCAAAATCCTAAGTGAATTCTGTATATTTTTAAATTCAACATTAACACTGTTTCCCTAGCTCTTCTGTGAAATTGTCACAAGACACTGAAATTTTACATTTCTCAGAGCAGCCTCAGAAGTTTGGATATCTTGGGAGGTGTAAAAAAACTTACTTAGTTGTGTTTAATCCAAGTTTTACTTCAATGAACTTCAGCAAATGCTCATTTTCTTTATGAGGAACACACATCTGAAAATTAATTTAGCAGAGAAAAATCATGTGAAATGCTAGAAGCAGCTTTCACATAGTCATTCAGATCATAAAATGTCAGGAAACAATAAACTATTCAAGATTTAGCTAAAACTAACAAAGTGGATTAAGTGTGACAATTAAGAATCACAGAATTAATTAGGTTGGAAAAGACCTCTGAGATCATCGAGTCCGACCTCTGACCAAACACCACCCTGTCAACTAGACCATGGCACTAAGTGCAACATCCAGTCTTTCCTTAAACAGCTCCAGGGACGGTGATTCCACCACCTCCCTGGGCAGCCCATTACAATGCCCAACCACTCTTTCTGCGAAGAACTTTTTCCTAATATTCAACCTAAACCTCCCCTGGTGCATCTTAAGACTGTGTCCCCTTGTCCTACTGCTGGCTGCCTGGGAGAAGAGACCGACCACCACCTGGCTACAGCCTCCTTTCAGGTAGTTGTAGAGAGTAATAAGGTCTCCCCTGAGCCTCCTCTTCTCCAAGCTGAACAACCCCAGCTCCCTCAGCCATTTCTCATAGGACTAGGTACTGGTATAGTATTGTAAATCTTCACTTCACTAAATCTATCTTTAGGGTTTCCTTCAGAATATTCTCTTCATTTTGTTCATGTACCCCAACAGGAGGGCCAGTGAAAAGCTGACAATAAGTTGGCCAAAGACTACTGAGCAGTGTAAAAAGGATCATGAAAAACAGACATAGACTTACTCCCAAGGAAGCCAAAGAGTGCTGCGCTTGGCTCCACTGGAAAATAGGACTGCAGCTTAGCAAAAGTTATGAGCATTTGTAATTTTCACAGATATTGTCTGAGCAGCCTAAAGTTCTGCAACTTAACTTGTAATGGTAATTTAACTCGTAGTTTTCAAGGTTAGGTTTTATTTTCCTGGAGGTACAGCAAGGCTAATCAATCTGACTGGCCCAAGAAAACAATCATATTTGAGCATTCTTTCAAACTTTTTAGGGTTCACTAGTTTATTTACTTTTAAGTCAATACTGTTAATTAATACAGCCAAGGTGAGTTTGAAACATAGAGGAAAAGCACAATAAAATATGTAAAAGACTAGAGCCAGCATGAGGGAATTGCTAATTAAAATATAAGACCAGGCTAAAATCCTATCGTGCTAACTCAACTCCTAGCTGACCCCTACACAGTGAAAGTCTCTGTTCCCATGTTCTACTTGAAATTTAATTGAAAATTATTATCCACCCTGAGACTACTCACACTTGTTCCTCGCACTTGTGCCTCCATGCACAAGAATATTGTTTTAATATTTAGACCAGTTCATCCAAGTTATAACAAAACCCATATACATAAAAAAGATAAAGTGTGATTTAAAGAGTATTTCCATACTATGTTTCAATCCAAAAGACCAAAACCCCAACAAAAGACAGCTGTTTGAGTTGCTAAAGTTTTTATATAGATACAAAATTACTTCATTTTCAGTACTCCTATTTGCTATGAATTAAGCTACGAACTATCATATCAATATAAGAAACATTTCACAAGATTTTTTCAAGATACTTCTGCAACTTTCCATTTAGATCCTGACAATTAAAATCACTTTTTACAGAGGAATCTTACCTTTAATAAGAAGTTTAGTGTCACTGCTACTGTAAGTACCAAATAAATGTACATTACTTTCAGCAATCTTGACATAAATGTACCTTTTTTCATATTCATCTGCAAAAATATTTTAAGAATGCTGTATCATTTGGAGTTCAGTTTAAATTTTCAAACTACACCCAGAGGAGGGTCTAGTTACCTGAAGGCATTTAGAGAGCATTAAAGCTGCTATGAAACTGAGTAATGGTGACACTAATAAGGCTGAATTTTCAAACTGCAGAAGGTACCCCAAGAAGAGAGAAAACAGGTAGATTTTGTATACTTCATGCACCTGTTGAAGAAAAGAAATAAACCACAATAAAACAAAACTATAGTGGATATACATCTTGCTTTTTAGAGCAGTAGCTCATTTCTCTGTTAATGAGGGGACTAATGGATGTTGATCCTCCAGCTCGAGTCTACAGGGTACCATTAGGCTCTGGAAACTATTTCACATCTGAACGATACTGGTCAGCCTCAGTAACTAGTGCACAATTACTTCACAAGAACTTTGTAAAAATGCCAGAAGCGGGAGTATTTTACCATGTCTCCCCATTCTGTAACACCTTGCTGTGATGCAGCATGAAGCAGCAACCACAATGCACCAGTAAGAACATACAATTTGTGTGACAGAGCTGACTACTGCAAACAGGTGCTTTCCCAGCCCTCAAAATAACTTGTTCATTAACATTCATTCAGGAATACTCAGACTGTTACTGATACTTTCTGTTATTTACTATTTGATAAGCAGATCTTATAAACCCCGTGACTTGATTCTTTAGACTTTTACAAAAACACCCATCTTCTCCCTTATATACCCTGTTTTGAACTGGAAATAGATCAAGCATTTCCCAGTGCTGAGGAACAGAAAAAAAAAAGGCAACTGAAAGAAGACGTGATGAATTAGAATTGCATGCAGCTTGATATCTAATAAAACTAGAAGGCACACGTATAAAAGAGCATATATACCTGTTGCATTTTATTCTGCAACAGGCAGAATTAAAATGCCTTATTGTTGCAACATTTCTAAGAACCATTTTGCAGACTAAATTCAAATACCTTCTAGTATTGAAAAATCAATTGGCCTTCAGCATCTGTCTAGTCTATTTATTGTCTAAATCAGTGCAGCGTGGGCCATTCAGGGTGAAAATGAGCCCTTTAACTCCACAGAGCCAACAGAGCACCTTTTTGGTCTGCCCCACCCTGCCATGATTAGGGGAAAGTAAGGAAGAGGCAGCCAGGCCAAAACGGAGTATCATTCATCACTCTTTTAGATCTCCAAGGATGTTTCACGTCTCAGAAGCTTTGTTTAGCTTCTGACCCTTTTGTTAGGAAAGCTGTCCCAAAACAAGTAGTCCAAAAGAGACTCAGTTTAAAGCTATCTTATTTTTCTGATGACATGCGCTTCAGCTGGGCCCAGGCTGCAAGACACTCGTCCCTCAGTCTGTGCCCTCTGGAGTCCTGAGCAGTTTGTATGACAGGCACTTCGGAGGCTGCGTATAAGTCCCCAACTATCAGTGGGCTGAAAAGTTCCAATACCTTCTCTGTCTGTGCCAGGGAAAAGCTGTCTAGCAGGAAAAGAGAAATAGCCTGTACAAACAGGAGATAATGACTGTATTCCCACATCATCATGAAGGTGTATGTTGAAGCATTCACCAAAAGATAACAAAACTTCTAGGAAAAAAAAAAGAAAAACAAGAAAAAGCATTAATTTTGAACCTATGTATCTCCTAGGAGGTCATTAAAACATTAACTATGGAAATTAATTATTATTTTAGAAAATAATTAAAATACTGACTTTAAATGTATTTAACGTGTTCTCGGAAGAAATTAATTACTGAAACATTCAAAAACATTTAAAGCCAACCAGAAGAAACATCATTCACAGAGAGACAGGGTAATGAAGTAAACCCCATCTTCTCCAAGCAACAATAAAAGCAACAAAACAGTTTACACAGTGAAAAAAATTCTGCATCAATTTATTTAAAAAAGGATAGCACATAGCTCATTACCACATTGTTCTCTCCGAACCCTCATGGGGGCATAGCAGGGCAGGGCACAAGTCACTTAGCAAAAACTGCACATGCCTAGGCGAAATCCAAGTGACTGTTTTGAAAAGAACAAACAAAACATCTACTGTTTTCTGCCTAGAAAGGCAACAGTGGCAAGGGTAACTACCCTAGAGCACAGTTCTACCAGCAACTCTTTGCTAAGAAATTAATTTTGCTTTACCTCAGCAGAACAATTTAGGTTTTTTTTTAAATAGCCTGTGAGAGCTGCTACTTGACATGCAAAGTACGGCAAAGCCCAATTTTCCCTTGATGGTATGGAGTAATCAATTCTTGTTGTATCTGTCCTAAAATAAAGTACAGAAAAACAAAATTATTAAAATATTTATGGAGCAAAGATATCAAGGAAAGCCTAAACGTCACTTCTAGCCATCAGAGTGGCCTTGTAAGCAAACTTTCCCCAGTTTTGGCATGAAGTAACACTGACACAATTTCACTGCAGATACAGGTCACACGTTTAATAACAGCACGGAAGGCCCAACCTTTACTCATCTATTCAGCAGGTCTCCTTATTAGGTGGCATTTATAGGACTGGAGCCAAAAAGCATCTGCCTCCAGCCTTTTCTGACCTGCCTCAACACTTCAAGTGGGATGTGTCACACACTGCTTCTGCCAACCTGCATAGGGACAACCGAGGAGTGCTAAATGCTCTTATGTCCCCAGGCAGGGAACCGCTGCCCTGGCAGCAGCTTTTCACATTACAGTGAAAATCAGCTCACAGCTGAGAGAAAATATTCCTTTCAGTTCTCATACAGTATGTTTTAAACAAGTGATTCAGGTGGTTGAGCACAATGTACCTAGAACACAAACTGGTGTTCCCTCATAGCAGCAGCAGATATTTTGTCTACAGGGAAAATTCTGCCCAGCAAAACAAGAGATTAAAGACGGATGGGGAGCATGCAGGGTTTTCCCATGGAATGACTCGACAGTAACCACATAATTAGAGGTGTAGGTGAAAGTTTTAAAAAGTGCTAAAGTGACTTAGAAGCACAAGTAACGGTTTCAAAAGTGATCAAAGGTATCAGTTTCAGAGGTACATAGTCTTCTTTGTGTCTACTATGCCTTTAAAAAGAGGCCTTAAGCTCCTTTATCATTTAGATATTTGAAAGCATCGCCTTTCATTTTTTCCTCTGAAGCCTCTTACAGAGGTGTATTTGGAGCTTTTCTAACTACCAGATTTTTCACTTTGTTAACATTGTTTAATCTTCTTTGCAGTTGAAAAAATTACAGATTTATTCACCATTTTTCCTACTTTCCACTGTTTACACAAGCGTAATGAACACTATTCTTAGCTACTAATCACAGATTTGGTCATGATGACTTCACACTCCTTGAAGATGCTTCCCAACAGTTCAACTTTAAAGATATATCTACAACATTTTGCTCCTCCTTAGTTCTTTTATTTCAAGTGCTCTCAAGTTCACAGAAAGCCCCAGAGCTACTTGGCGAACAAACCAGGAGCCTGAATATAGGTTCTCATTGCCCAAATGAGGCTCCCTATTATTGTGGTGCTTCATAAGGGGAAGGGACATTTTCTTCCAAGTGAATTGTTTTAAAATAAAAAAATCTTGAGATCAAGATCATCTAAGAAGATTCCACTTTACAGAAAAATCCACTACAAAAATAATATTAAAAAAATCAAATATTATTTGCAAGAAAAATGCACTTGGATCATTTCCTTCTAAGCAATAGGACAACCGTCACAACATTTAGAACTGGCTAGAGAGAGCAATTCTGTTTACAGCTGTTTTGGACATTTGTTTTTGTTCTTCACCAGCAAAAAACCAAAACCTTCTGGGGAATGTTTTTGAAAAATGAAATTGTGTGTGCGTACTCCTGTATTCACACACATACATAGAGTCAGTTCAACCGGCAGCGTGGATGGTTTGGACAACAGGGGGCCTTTCCATTAATAAAATCATCATGAGAACCAATGAATCTCTCAAAAACATTTTGTATTCAGCATAAGATCCTGCTCTCACAGTGAGAACACAAAGCTTAATAGAAAGCATTTCAATCCACTCTAATATTTGAAAATGCCTTATTGACAAACTAGATTGTATAAAGATGTTTTTCTTACCTGTTAATAATGAACCATGCTACAGTCAGCATTCCTGCCAGCCAAGTCCCACTCATAACCCAACTGGTTACAAACAATGCAGTCACATAAATTCCCTGCAGTCCAAAAACTATACCAATGTAGAAATACACTGGTTCAATAACTTCCTGAAATTACAAATAAAAACGAAGAGACATAGTGGCAACTGAGCTGAAGCTGGAAATTATTACTATTTACTATTTGTTACTGCTAACAGTGTGCTAGGTGCTTTACAAACAGGTAAGAGACGTCTCCTAGAAAAGTATTGGGCATGCTTATATTTGGGGCTCAGGAAGAACAAAGCAGTGTGAAATAAGCGCACCCCTCAGGACTCAGCTTGCTACTGCCATGAGTTTTGTATTTGCTTTAGCATGAACATTGTAGTTGTCAGATTTAATAAATCTATACTGCAGTGGGATATAAAGTTCACAGGACTACTGAAAGAAGTTATGTGGAGGAGGAACTTGGAGAAGTAAAGATGGGGCAAAAATGGTTCCAAAATAAATCAATAATAAAAAAAGAAAGATAAATGAGGGAGGACACAAGTATGCAGCAGAAGCAGAACAAAGCCCGAGCAGAGCAGAAATTGACAAAAGGTTTATCTACAGAAGTGTTTTTCCCTAGGAGAATGGGCAGACAGGTACCACTATGACAGACTTCTGTACTCCAAAGGAGCTAACTTTCCTGTTTTTAATGGATAGCACAGACATTCCCCACATTTCTAAGCACTCTGCAGAAGCAAAGAATAACAGATAAGTTTAATGCACACAAACCCCCAAAATCCTGTGCCAGAGACTAATCAGAATTGAGGAGAACCTGGACGTGGGTGAGAGGCTTAGCTCAGCTCATTCCACAAAAAATGCACGTGTTCATTGTATGCAGCATAGAAAGTCTCTCTCACACACAGACACAACCATAATGAAAACACAGAAAGTAGGAGAAATGCACATACTTCGCTACCAGATGCTTGATATAAAACACTGGCAATCAACTCTGGGTACAAAGTCATTTGCTGGACTGCATTTATTGTCTTCAGTGATACTGTCTTATTGTTGTGTGTCAACTCATAAACACCTATAGACAAAAAAAATATTATTCTTAGAATCACTTACTATTGCTGTTCTTAAAGGAGGTCAAAGTGTATTCAAACATAGGGGGGAACAGACTTGATGATTAAAGCTACTAACTGATTCACCACACCTAATTTTAAAGGAAGGAGAAATTTCTGTGTCAGATGCCATTCCACCCTACCGATCTAGCAACCACCTGAAGCAGAGTCTTTCAGTAATGTACTGATGCAGTCCTGGAACTACCTACTTACAGATCACCTTCACAGGAGGTTCTTAAGACATGAGACAGATGTAACAGGGATGAGCAGGATGTATTAAACCCGTCTTCAGAAGGAGGTCAGGTATAATGGCCTCATCATCCTTTTCAGCCCCCATTTCTGAGGCTTCTAAGAATCATTTATTGAACACAATATGTCTTCCTATGGGGTTGAGATGAAATTGAAGCTGGCATACTTGAAGGATACATCATTCTAAAATGTTATATTTAAAGAAAAGACTTGTCAATACTTAGGACAATAGAGGGAAGATGAAAAACAATCCAAATCACAGTGTGGGGGAGAACAAAAGCCTCAAAACCAATGCAACAGCCAAACCAGACAACTGTTTCCATCTCTGAGCATATCTTGGTGTGTGGGCTGCAGTTGGGTCTCTGTAGGCCAAACCAGGTCTTGCAGGACTTATAACTGAGTGAGATAGGGCTGTTCACTCACTCTTCTCTCCTGAGCTCTTGCCTTTTCCCCATGCCAGGCCAGGTGCACTTCTGAACTCATGGAGCTAGCAAGTGTTCCTCCTTCTTTTCATTGTGTTAGTTTTCTGCTTGTTTAGGGACCTAGGGTCAGTGAGCTCCAGAGCCAGTGCAGGATAACGAGTAGGAATGCAAAGGAAGGAGAGATCATTGCCACCTGGTCTGTTCTCCTTCCTGTCCCCTCACTCAGCCCTCATCAGCATCTATTCATCATAGCTGACAAGAGTAAAAACTTCTGGCAGAGACGGGATGGACCAGATCAGCTTGTGACAGAAACGGTTCCATGTTCTGACAGAGGATGGAAAACAGTACTTTTCACCCCCCATTCCAAAACTCAACATAAATTATGTTTGCATGGCACAAAATCCACCATGTAGCATGGACAAACGCAGTGATAACTTTGATACAGGACAGTATGAGAACAATACTAACCCTGTGCTAGAGTACTGATTAAAGGCAATCTGCTGGAATAGTTAAATACTGTTTTTTAAAAGGCACTGAAAAGTTAGGACAGCATGTGGCTTTTAATTAATCTGACCAATACACCTATATAAGAGCGTAAAATCAGTCCCCCCAGCCTGCAGGAGTTTTTTACTGTCTCCAAAAGGAACAGGACTTTTCAAAGTTAATAAAACAAATGAGTTTTGTACCTCTTTCAAAAGAAGGAGCCTTTAGCAGTTCTTTATAGAATGAGTAATAAATGGCACTGTCACCCTGAAATGTAATTTCTCGTTCAAGTTCCTAGAAAAAAAAAAATATTCACCTCCTGGAATCTCTTCCCAGAGAAGACTATATATTTTCAGATATACTGGTTTTGTAATACAGCACATGGTTATGACTCCACTGTACATCTTCAAAGTACTCCACAAAACATTAATCTTCACAGCACTTCTGTCAGGTATATATTGCTCTCTATAACTTAGCAAACATGCTCGGAATCAGAGCAACTCAAATCCACATTGTAAGTTAGCACTAAATCCACAGGATCCTTTCATATTCAAAAACCTGAATTTCATTCAACTTTCCATACTTCACTAAATAACACAGTTCTTAAAAAAGACAAAACCCAAAAAAACCAACAAAAACCCCCAAATCAAAAAACAAACACAAAAAACCCCCCAAACCAACGACCAAAAAAATAAAAAAAGCCCTATACATATTCCTATTGCTTAGCTTTCGCAGTCTCAGTAGGCTTCAGTTATTTCTCCAAATTTTAGAAAGATATTTCAATGATAAATGGTGGCATGGAAAAATGTACAAAAGCATGACAAGCCAAAACTAATGTTACCAGGAGAAATACTTTAACAAAAAAAAGAAAGAAAGAAGATAAAAATAAAAAAAGAAGAAGAAACTATATCAAAGACAGGCCTCAGTAGAAGGACATGGGATTCTGCAAGCAAGTAGTTCCAACCTGACAGGGACCAGCTTTGATTTCAAGGACACAATCTGGCTTTTGTTTCAGTAGTTTAACTTTATCTTTACCTGCCTGCTGGAAAACCAGAACTTCCGTTCGTGATATGTTGAGAGGTACACAGCATACATCATTCCACTGGTCACTGCCGCCAGACAGCCAAAGAAAAGTTTTGCAAAACGCTGGATTAACATATCTGAAAAGGGACAGTGAGAAAGCTAAAAGAGTCCAGAGGATTTAGAAACAAACAGTATGTCCTACACATGACTCTCATTTCTGAACAGTAACTGAACTTACTGGAATCAGAATTAACACATCAGCAGCAGCACAGATACATCGAAAACTAGTATGTTATTCCTGTCCTGCAGAGCTTTCTTTCCCAGTTGTTACCATTGCTTCACAGGACCCTCAGATAAAATACTCACATACTACACTGCAAATTTTCTCTCCATTTCAGTAAGCTTTGTTTTCAAATGAATTCCAAGAAGGAAAAGCATCTTTCAAATAAACAGAGCAAACTCTAGATTCCACCCAAAACACCACAACCTTCTTAAAGACATTAACAGACAGAGGTGGCAATACCATATCTAACCATTCCTGAGACGCTCAATTTTCCATTCTGTTTTTAAATAAAAGAAAAAGGAACTAATCTGAATTTTACCAAACTCACTCAACAGGCATCTACTTCACCTGTAGCTCCCTTTCAACATAGAAGTTTTTGGTAGTTTGGTGAGCACTTGCCTAAAATTATACTTGGTTTTAGTTCTGTTTCTTGAAAAGCTGTAAGGACTTTTTGTCTTCTTGTTTCTGTACCATTACTTCATGCCTCTCAGCTTCCCAACCAAAAGATCATTCCAGGAGCAATAAATATATTTATTTGTATTCAAATAGTAACAACAGTAACATTGTTAACTCCTCTCCTTCTCCCCCCGGCCCCCAGCCTGAAACAGTCCAAGACTACCATTTCACTCCACAATACATACAATGTCATTATTAAAGAATTCTAATGTGCATGCCTGTTTTCTCTTGAAACATTCAAAAACCTAATTCAAAATAAGTCTGTTATAAATTACCGTGCTACAAATATCTTCCCATAAAATGTAAATGAGTAATGAAAAAAAATCAAAAGTCTACTAAAAATTCTGTAGCTTACATTTTGGCGATCTTCCCAGCTTTGAGTTTTCTTTGTTTCTCTGCTCTGGAGCCATTTTGTCAGATTCTGAGCAGTTTTGTTTCTTTCTCTGTCGCAGGTCTGCTGCCCCTGAAGACATTTTTTTTTAAGTTACTGCAACACAATACCTAAAATCGCACTCTGAGAAATCCACGCAGCAGCAGATAGCAGCCAGTTATTGCTATTGATTCAATCCCAAGGAAGATATATTTGACAAAGACTCAAAGTGTGTCATATGCTCAACTAAAATAACAATATCACCATATAGAAATCAATTCCTATGTTATTCCTTAGAAAAAACAATAGTATTCTCTTGAGGTCATACTCTGGGGTTACCCAGAACCCAAACTGGAAGCTAACTGGTTTATTTCATGATTAATGTATTACACAAATGAAGGAAATCAGTAGTTTAGATAAGCTGATGCAGACACTGGGAGACACTGAGCAATTTCATTCTACTCTCATTCTGGTTTTACACAGCTATAGCAGTGTACAAGGCACACTACTGTAATACAAAAATTGCTCTACTCCACTGCTTTTAAATTGAGCTGCCTATTACTCATAAGGCAAAAGTTTTTTTAAGTAAATATAACATCACTTTTTTCCTGCTTTTGGATCTACTGGAACTAAGTAGATTTATGAACATTTAGTCTAACATATAATTAAAAAGCCCAGCCTGCTCATCTATATAGATCACATCACAAGATCAAGAGCTTCCTCAGCTTCTGTTAAGTTTTCTGTAAACAGCAGCAGTCTGAAGCTCTGATCCACTTATTTTACAGTCTAAAAGCTAATGAGGCTAATTCAGAGTGCAAGTCTACATACAACAGACTCATTGCAAAAAGTATTTTAAAATTATTGTATTAAAGATATCCCACAATATTTATGTCATTTTGGAAGGGTTGAAAAGGTTTAACTGTAACTCATGCTCTAGAACTTCCAGTTCTCCCATTTGACCCACTGTACAACATTGCTTGAAATTTTGTAGCCACCAATTTCTTCTGGACTTAAAGCAGCTCTTTCATAAAGCCATCCAACTTCAAATTTGAAGTGTCAACCTTCACATCCCACAACAAAGCTTTTTATTACTCTGGCTGTATATTATTTCAAGTCTTAATTCAGCCTAATTTTACTCCCAACTATTAGATTTAAAAATTAGAAACTAGAGATAGAAATATAAATTATTAAAGCAATGTCTGCCTGTATCAGGGTGCCTGTGTGTAAACAGAGCAATTTATAAATTATTCTGAGCAAATCAAGACCTCGATGATAACATTTTTCATGCAATGAACAAAAAATGTCTACCTTATTAAACAAGACAAGAACTGGAATGATTTTAAACAAAACAAGGTTTAGGGTGTTCAGTATCACATTTATCATTATGCCAATCCAAAATCAAATGTACACCAGTATCACTTCATGTCGTGTATAAATGTATATATATATGACAAACACCAAGTGCCCTGCAATTAAAAATTGCTTGTACAATACAAAATAAAACAGGGTGAGGGGAAAACCCTGGATCACCAGAATGGGCAGATAAGTGCTTGGAAGGACAACTGACTGCCCTTGTCATTCTAGTTATGACCAAAGCAACAGCTCTGAGAACACTGAGGAAAATGCATTTCTTCCGCTTTTCAGGCAGAGAAGTGAGCCATAGTAGAAGTGTAACACACTTATAAAGCCTAGAGTTAGCAGCAGTAATAGAAAATTCCTAAAAAAGAACAATTTAAAATCCCAATTTTGAAACAACTGCATCTCAGTCAGCAAATGATTTTCACTTCTGTTTTGAACGACGGCCAACAAATCCCCTCCACAAAGCAATAACACAGAAAGAGCCAAGTATGTTACTTCTGTTTTATCTGCAGCTGCCTCAAACAAGAAAAATTTTGTTTTCACTTCTATGAATACCTTAAATGGGATGAAATGAAAGTCAAACAAGGTGACAAATAAAAATTATCTAGAATTTTGAACTGATGGCACAACCTCTAGTAACCCTCTATCCAGCATGCAATTTTTCATCTGAGATTGCTTTCCAGTTCCCTGTAAGTTCAAAGTGTATTTTTTTTCAACTCTTGTTCAGACATTTTTTATGTATCTATTGCCGAAAAGCATAACTCATTGCTCCTGAATGCCACGATATTCATCTAGAATAACATTGGAATTTTTCACCTGAAAATTGAGCACCGTCTGCAATTCTTTTCCTCTCACCTAAAGAAGGATAAGATAGAGCTGGGAAAAATTCAGAGAAGGGCCATGAGGATGATCTAAGTTGGGCAATGGCTCCCATACAAGGAACAAGGAAAGAAGTTGAGGATGCCTCAGTCTGGAAAAGAGGATGACCAACAGAAACATGCCAGATGTCTACAAGCCAGTGAAGTGCACCAACAGGCTGAATAGAGAGCAGTGATTCACCTTCTTTTCTAATACAAGAAGTTCTCAAATAAACCCAGTGAGTCAGGCTAAAAGGAACCAGCTCATTGCACATCACTTTCAGGTACACCACTCCTACTCAAATAATGTTCTGTAAACCAACAGCTTATACAGATCTAAGAGAAGACTGACACATTTGCAGAGGACAAACAACCGAAGACTACTAAACACGCAGAAACCACATCCAGCTCAGAAAGTACCCGAGCTGAGAACAGCTGGGTCACTGGAATATGCCATGGGACAGATTCGCATATGCTTGCTTTGATCTTTCATTTCTCTGGGTGCCTGCTAACAGTTATGTTTCTGCTGATTTCCACAAGAAAACTAAATGTCATCTCCTAGTCCCCACAAAGAGCATTAGGACAGAAGAGACCTCGAGAAAAATACTTGTGTGGAGGCTAAAAGTGAAACAGAATTACAGAATATCCTGAGGTGGAAAGGACCCACAAGGATCATCAAGTCCAGCTTCTGACCCTGCACAAGACAGCCCCAAGAGTCACACCATGTGCCTGAGAGTATTGTTCAAATACTTCTTGAACTGTGGCAGCCTTGGTGCTGTGGATTCCCTGGGGAGACTGTTCCAGTGCCCAACCACCTTCTAGGTGAAGGACCTTTTTCTAATATCCAACCTAAACCTCCCCTGACACAATTTCAGGCCCTTCCCTCAGGTCCTGTCACTGGTCACCACAGAGAAGAGATCAGTGCCTGCCCCTCCTCTTCCCCGCACGAGGAAGTTGTAACAGCAATGAGGTCTCTCTTCAGTCTCCTCCAGCTGAACAGACCAAGCGACCTCAGTTGCTCTTCATACAGCTTCCCCTCGAGGCCCTTCACCACCTTCATAGCCTTCCTTTGGACGCTCTCTAATGGCTTAACGAAACGACAGAGGATACTAAAACATACGGAAGGATGCCAAAGAAAAAGCATACTCACGGAGGCATCCACGGAGCCCACAGATGCTGCCCCGGGAGTTCTGCCCAGAGGCAACACCGGGCGAGGGAGGAGAAAGATCTCCCGAGTTCCTGGGCTCCCACCGGCCCGGCCTCATCCCGCCTGGGGCTGCGAACCACGGGCTGCCGTGGGCTGGGATGGGCCCCGAGGGGCCGCCGGGGCGGGCTGGGCCCGGGAGGCCGCCTGTGCCCTGCAGCCCAGTGTTCCTCCCCCGTGAGCGGCCGGCCCAGCACGGACCCGGCACGGACGCGAGGGGCGGACACACCGCCGGCCTGGGCCAGCGGCCTCGGCCCGGCCCCGACCGCCCTCCGCCCGGCCCGGCTCCGCGGCCTGAGGAGCCGCCCCTCACCTTCCTCCATCGCCGGCCCGCGGCTGCCGCCCGCCGCCAGGTCCCCCCGCTGCTCTCCGCGGGGCGACGCCTCCGCCCCGCCCGTGCCGCCGCCGCCGCCCGCCTCCCGCCGCCCGCGGGGGCGGGAGCGCTCCCGCATCCCCCGGCGAGCGGAGCGGAGCGGCCCCGCGCTTCCTCCCGCCGCCGGAACTGCGGCAGCGGAGCCAGGGCCACGGCCGGAGCGGGGCGGCGGCGCACAGGGGCACGGCGGGCACAGGGGCGGGGTCGGGGCTGCCCTGGGGGGCTTCCGCGGTCACCTCACGAGCACCGCCTCGCAGCCTCGAAAAGGCGCATCCCACGGGCACCGCGGCGCAGGGCCCCGCCGTCCCCGCCGGCCAGCCCGGCTCCAGAGGGACCGTGGCCCTTCAGAGGGGCCGCGGGTCCCAAGTTAGCCTGCAGAAGAGGAGGCTCGGGGGAGACCTTGTCACTCTGCAACCACCTGAAAGGAGGGTGCAGCCAGACGGAGGTTTGGTGTCTTCTCCCAGGAAACGAGTGACAGGACAAGAGGACACAGCCCTAAGCTGTACCAGAGGAGGTTCAGGTTGGACATCAGGGGGAACTTCTTCACAGAAAGGGTGATTAAGCATTGGAATGGGCTGCCCAGGGAGATGGAGTCGCCGTGCCTGGAGGTGTTTAAGGAAAGGCAGGACGTGGTACTTAGCGCCACGGTCTAGTTGACATGGTGGTGTTCGGTCTGAGGTTGGACTCGATGATCTCAAAGGTCTCTTCCGACCTGATCGATTCCGTGATTCTGTGAAATCAGGGCATTTTCAATGGATGTTTCTCACTCGGCACTCTGCCTGCCCGCATGAAGAGCCTCCCTCCCGGGAAAAGGAGCCCTCCCTCGCTCCTATACGGACACCAATCCGGAAAGTCCCTGCCTAATGGCCAGCTACAAGGGCCCGGTGAGAGGAGTGGGTGGTTGAGCCTTGACGCACACCTGCTTTGGCTCCTTTTTTGCATCATGATGAACTACTCAAGCATAGTCCCAGCATCCCACTATCACAGAGGCCGTATGAATTCAGGACAAAAGGATAATACCCCCAACGAAGTTACAGGCTGCTTTTGGGAAAACAACAGAATCACAGAATCGATTAAGTTGTAAAAGACCTTTGAGATCATCCAGTTCCAACCTATAAGTGAACACCACCATGTCAGCTAGATTTATGGCACTAAGTGCTACATCCAGTCTTTTCTTAAACACCCCCAGGAACGGTGACTCCACCACCTCCCTGACCAGCCCATTCCAATGTTTAATCACCCTTTCTGTGAAGAAATGCCTCCTGATGTCCAACCTAAACCTCCCCGGTGCAGCTTAAGACTGTGTGCTCTTGTCCTGTCCCTCATTTCCTGGGAGGCTGACCCCTACCTCTCTACATCCTCATTTCAGGTGGTTGCAGAGAGTGATAGCCTGATCCTCCTCAAGGCTAAACAATCCCAAAATGAGCTATGTTTGGATAAAGGGAGGCCAGGGAAAGAGCGTAAGGAAAAGAAAAGCGTCCTTAAGCAGTGGAATGGGCATTCCAGCACACCAGCCACCTAATGATTATCATGGTCGTTGTAAGCACCCTGGCAAAAGAAGGATTTGGAGAGATGGGGGAGCTGGGCATGCCTTCAGAGTGTAAAGGATAGCATGGAAAAGTGTTTTCTGTGACTTAAACAAAGAAGCTTAAACTTAAACAAACTTAAACTGGGGAAGCCAGTATGTTCACTGATGAATGTGATTAGAGGTTGTAACTGAGTTAGAAAGACAAAACTGGTGCTGAAGCATCTTTGTAGTGATCTTTATGCGTGAAATGCTGTAGGATCTTTATACTTGAAATGATATCAGGTAGGAGTCCAAGGAAGAAATGTAAATAAGGGGATAATGTGGCTACCATGAGACTCATCTACGTTGTCTGTTACTGGAGTCCTTATGGGCTCTCTGAGTCAGGACCTTGTTGTTTTAGGGAGTCTGAAGCAGTGTTTGCTTGCACCAAACCACGAGTAGTGATGCTGCAAGAAGAACACATTCCACCCTGAAGCAGTAGCAGCTTGGATGTTTGGTGGTGAAAGTCCTGAGTTCTGGCCATGATAAGCTGAGCTGATTATACACATGGAGTCGGTTTCATTGCATTATGACAATGCTCAGACGTTGCAGCTGTGGCAACAGCTGCTTCTGTGCTGTCAGGCCAGGGCAAAGGCTGGTGCTCTCCCTGACCACTGCCTGGGGACATTCCTCAGGAGGCCCCCCTAGAAAGGAGTCTTGCTGATACTGATGGTGTTTGCCACTGCAGGCACTCTAATGCTTGATTCTTGAGTTGGGATTGTCAAAGACAGAAGTTGTCACCCTACGGTGCCCCAAATCTGTGTGCAGATCTCTGTGGTGGGCTGAATGCTCAGGGCTGGCAGAGTGGGCTGCTTGGAGCACAGTGGGGATTTGTGGTTGGCCACAGCCCTGGGGAGGACCTCCAAGCCTTGCCCAAACCTGCTGTGCGGAGAGAAGATCGAGGCAGCTAGTGCAGGACCCAGCCCAGACGGAAAAGTTCTCCCAAGCAGCACATTTTCCAGAGAGCACCGTTTTCTCCTTCACAATGTCCTGCTACAGCTCTAGGGGATGGACTAAACATAGGCATGGACTTGAGCTGCAGGTCACCATTCATCAGACCACAGCTGTACTACAGGCTAGTCTTCCATGTGGGATTTACCTCCACACATCATCAGATGGTCATGGTGTATAAGGCCCCATGCATTAAAAATATTCTGAGAAGCTCCAGTGTCTATAGGCCTGTGGTCTAGGCAGAGGTAGCCTAGCAAAAGCTGAAGGGCTGGGGCAGTAGGGGACTGAGGCAATCAGCATAGGTTTTTCTTTCACTTAGGTCAGACCTGTAATGTTTAAGGTGGGGGATGCCTCTCTAATCACCCAGGGGGTGTGTGGAGATGCACCAAGGTTCACTGCCAGGGTGCAGAGATCATTCCACATGTAAGTGCTCTGGACTAAATTCAGCCACTCTTTGAGGGAGGCTTGCCATGAACATGAACTACCAGACTAGGATCATCATCTCCGGGAGCAGGATGGCATCAACCGAATACTGAAAGATTGCTGAAGACACCCAGCTATTTACTAACTAATAATCTAGAAATGACTGAGAGGTGGGCAGGATCTGTGCTGTCTGTGTCTCCTCATGTGTGTGTGTGTGGGGGGGAGCTTCCCAGGCATGATCTGCCAAGGGCTGTGCTGCCTGGGCTCAGTTTTGGGTTGGGAGGCTGTAATCCCAGCAGCTCCCAGCAGCTGAGCAGAGCAAATGGGCTTATTTAAACCTCTCAGAAGTTACCATTGGAGGAGCTATCAAAGGCGTTTGCGGGAATTGCCCCTTGGAGACTGCATGTCTTCTGCCCTGCAGTCAGGCCAATGTCCGATCAACTGGTGGAAAACTGATTTGGTTACTTGTCTGGCAGCTACCAGGAGAATCTAAACCAATTTGTGTGTCCTGTTGGAGCGTAAAATGAGATTTGTAAGTTTCCTGGGTTTTTTAATAAAATCTAAAGTACTTCTGCAGTTGTTGATTTATTGAATAGTTAGAGGGGTTGCTTATGATTTTAATGATCCATAAATTATCCATTGTATTTCTAATGTATTGGGTTTGATCAGTTTTTAATTTGTTTGTTTGGGTTTTTTTTAATAAGTTACCGAAATAAGCACAAATAATCATTGCAATGAAAAGAACACTAATTGTTTTAAATATTTGTATTCAGAGCATTGATACATGGATAGGGATAAAACAAATGATTGCTCAGTTGTGCTCTGTATGTTGTTTTTCTCAAGCCTTCTTTGTACCTGCTGTTTTATACTGTACCTTGTTGCATTTCCTGTGCAACTTCAGTTTTCTACTGGTGCTCCAGTATGTGGATCATCCCACACCTTGAATTCAGTAGAATTGTAAATACGCATCAAGTAATTTATATGCACAACTGTACAGTTAGCAGAGAAGTGGAAAAATCCATCCTGCTCACTTGATTTTCATTTTTTCTGAGGGGAAAAAAAATGCACTTTTGAAGGTGGGAGAACCAAAAATCATTTTTCATGCAAGTTTTTCTCCTAGAATGAATATGCTGAAATGATTTTTAAGGTAATGTTGAAAATGTTATTACTGTTGCACTTCAATCTTCCAAAATGCTTTCTGTAACTAATATTATATGAAAGTTATTTCATTTGACAGCTTATTATGTGCCCTAAATATTGTGCTGTAATACATTGCAATGAGTAAATACAGGGATGTTGTGTTCTTTTTCCAAACTTTCTCTGTACAAACATGCATCATGTATCTGCATGATGACAGCATTTGTTCTCTGTTTACATATTATTTCTAAGCCCTGCAGACATAACTTTTCTTTTTATTTACAAGTTCAACATACTGATGCTTTCTAGTTTAACAATCATTCTTTCTCTCTTTTAGAGATGTCAGGAGGCAGACACAGATGTCCCTTGGTATAATACATTAATACTGGGCATGTTTGTCATTACTCAAAAGTAAAAAATGCATAGTTGTTTATTTTGTGAACAAACCAAGTTATATTTTTGTACGTTAAAGATCCCATGCCTAAAATGCTTGTAGTGTTTCAATGATCAGCTAATGACTGTGGATATTTCACCCATTCTCCTAATATCAGCATTTTGTGGGGTTGATTCACTGGCTTCTAACTTATGGTTCTGGATTATCAGTATCCAAAGGTTTTGCTTATTTTAATAATTTTAGACTGTTCCCTTCCCAAAACTGTATCTTCTATGAGGGTGTAAAAAAATAGTACCTAAAGAAGTGTTTGTGGGACCAAAATTTTGCACTGTGCTCTCTGAAATGATATGGGGAAGGCAAGGAAAGATGTGAGGGATATTGGGGGGTAATGACAATATGGAAGCATTACTTAAAACTGGACTTAAGAAGTCAGAAAATTAAATTACACAAACCATATAGAACCTTTGAGATTTTTTCCCCATATATTTACTTTTCTTCCTACCTTATTTCAGCACAGCTTCCAGTGTTCTTTGTGGCTTCAGCTCCTGCTTGCCTTGCCTAGGGTATAAGTAAGTCAGGATCTATTGTCACCTGCTTTATTGTAAGA